AATCGAACTGCACCTCTTAGAACAGGGAGCAGGGCTAGGAAACAGAGCTCAGAAGAGGACTGATTATCACAGACAAAACTGACAATTACCCCTACTCTCCAGAATGTACAAATCCCGAAGCTCTGGTGTAACATGTGTTTAGGGTCTGTTGAGGAGTTATTCTTGCAACAGACCAAAAAGTTACTAATCACAGAAGCCTTGTAGGAAGAGGTGGGGCTGAGTGGAGGAGATAGTGGTGGGCGGGGCTGCTTCCTTTCCCGGTGACAGGGCCCACCATGCAGTACTGCTCTGAAGACTGAAGATTGCGTAGGCATCTGAGCTCACGAGGTCCAGACTAGTGCCCGGCACATCACCAGCACCCATAAAAGAATATCCTGCACTTCTAATCAGATCAGCCAACCTTCACAGGCCATCGTTTCATGGGAGCCCACAGCAAACCAGTAATGATTACTGTTAAGGATTTACAAACCATCCTTAAAGATGGTTTCTCACCTCTTACACATTCAGGGGGTACAAGAAGTTAGAAAGGAACTAAACTAAACTGAGATCTCACGCTCAAAAGAAAAGAAAAGGTCGTGCAGCTTCATCCTGGGACCCCAGGCGCCCCAGCCCCCAGCTGTTGCGGGTCAGTATCCCTGCAGCCACCTTCCCCCTGCAGACCTGCTCCAAGAAGCGCGTTGCTAGGCAGTCACAGGGTGAGTGTCTAGCTGCTGCACATCCAGGTGATTGCTCCAGGCTGTGAACCTGCACGAGTGCTTTGTGCTGGGTCCTATGAGCAGGTACAGCACAGTGGAAGTGTTTGTATATCTAAGCATAGGAAAAGCACAGTACAAATATTTTATGCAAGGAATTCTTCAGCTCCACTGTAATGGGATGGCACCATTGTCCTGTGCTTGTCTAGTAGATACAGTGCAGTTAACAGTAAGTCAAATCAGAATTGGTGCATTAGGGAACGTATTCTGGACAGACAATGAATGAAACATATTTGATGGTTACAGTTGCAGTGGAGAATAATGAACCAGGAAGGACAGTGGGGTGGGGTGAGAGGTCAGCTGTAGATGGGCTGGGGTACTGGCTGGCAAGAAGGAGACAAGTGCAGGACGCAAGCAAAGTGCCAGGGAGGAGTAGAGGGGGACAGCACATGTCCGCAGCTGGGCCGGGGAGGCTGGTTTTCAGCAGAGGAGCGACACAGTCTGACCTAGGGATGGGCAGCCGGTGTGAGTCCCTGCCGAGCGGGTGGTTCAGACTGGAGTAGCATGCCTCCAGGAGGCTGTGGGTTCACGGCTACTGCTGGCCACACACTGGGGTGTAAAAGCCAGGTATCATGACCTCCAACTGCATAAAACATGTGGGCTTCCTCCCATCTCACAGATAGGAAAACTGACATTAAAAGAGTGACTTGTACCAGGGTCATTTAGCTAGGAAGATAATGAAGCTGGGACATTTAGTTGCCTTGTTGTTGGTTTGCTTTTTTAAATAAGTGTTGCTGTCATTTGACAGTAACCATAGTATCTGCAGGATTCCCTGCTGTGTGCATGTGTATATCATACACATCAGGTCAGAGCTGCTAGCATATTCTTTGCTTCTAGCCCATCATCTTCGATTGTACCTACCTAGGTGATTTTGCAACAGAGGACCTAGCTTTTCCTCATTCTTGCACCCAGGCCCTCCCCGGTAGGGACCGCTTGACAGTCTTGTGGCAACAGCACTGGTGGACGTCCTAGCTGAAGCTCCTCCTGAGACCTTCTGTTCTCTTGAGTCCCCGGGGTAGGACCACAGACACCCCGAGTCCAGCTCCGTGCCTCTGCCCAGAGTCTCCTGTCGAGTTCAGCCTTCCCGTGGGGTCCCCTTCTCATCAGACTCCTACAAAGTGATCATTGCTGGCTGACTTTTTTCCCCTTTATTTATTTATTTTTTACCCATTTTCATAGAAACAGTCTGATCAGAAGGTGGCATTCTCACTGGGCAGATGTTGCCAAATAGTTCTTTTGGGGAAGAAAATGTCATTTTGGTCTGTGCTCTGGGTGTGAGGCCCAGGTGCCTGCATTTTACCGAGCTGCTTTTCCTAGCTCAGCCATGACTGAAATGTGATCAGTGGACACTGTTGGTGCCAGGCAGTGCCAGTTCACAGCTGGCTGAAAGAAGAAGCTGGGTGCTGGGGCTCTGGACCTCTCCCTTCTGCTTCGTGGCCCTGTGCACAGACCTCTGGACACAGCCTCCCTGTAGCGCACTCACTTTTGCCCCCAGCCCTGGCCTCTGAGTGAGACCGGAGTGGGGATAGGAGGGAAGCAAGGTGGTGAGAAGGTATCCGGCACCATGGGTCAGAACCTGGAATCCCAGTTTGGTCCACTCTAAAAGCACGAACCTGACCACATGGTCCTCAGCACATCTAAGGCCACTGGCTCCTCCAGGCAGGCGCACTGTGGGTCCCGGGGTGACAGCCTACTGTGCACATCTGGCTCTCTACACTCACAGGAGGGATCTGGAGAGGTGGCTAGTGCAGCTAATGCTACAGCATTTCCAGATGCCAGGACCCCAGCTGTAGGAAGGCAGCTGGGCTGTGTGCAGACTTGTCTGGACAGGGCGCCACTGAGCCCGGCAGGATGGGATGGCTTCAGCTGGCCAAGTGACCCCTCAGTCTCCTTACTGTCTCCCCGCCATCTGATTCGATGCACCATGCATCTGTGGTTTTCATCCTAATCACGATCCTGTCTGTGTTGGCTGAGGAAAACCTAAGACCACAGTGCGTGGCTTACAGTCACACACGTGCTGGTCACAGAGGTCATTATCCCCTCTGCTGCCCATCCTGGCCAGTGTGTTTCCTTTTTTCCATGTAAGAACTCGGGGCTCTGGATGGCTGAAGCATTTCGGGGCGAGGGGCAGGAGAATGCACCCAGGAGGCAGGGATGGCAGGGTCTGTGCGGCTCCTGGCATGGGCCAGTCCCGCTGAGACCTGCAGGAGCTATCTGAGTATAAGCAGTGTAGGCAGGAGCGGGAGCATGCTGTCCATGGCTGTCTCCACCCAGGCCTTCGTCCTTGCTGCCACACGGCTGATCCCCTGACCTCCCACTGTTAGCCCTCTCAGAAACTCAGGACCTCTGAAACCTTGCTCACCCGTCCTCTGGAGCGCCCAGGGTTATCTGCACCTCCCCAGCGTCCTTGGGCTACAGTCCCACTGCCTTCCCGGTGCTGAGCCTCCCTCCCTCTGCAGCCCTCACCCTGCCCCCACTGCCCTTCCTCCAGGTCATGGCAGCGTCCTTTTTCCGCAGCCACTGGCCCTGCCATCAGCACAGTGACCATCTTACTGAGTCCCAGCCCTGTGTTGATGTTAGGAAACAACACAGGCTCTGTCACTTCATTCTTAAAAAAGAAAGGCAGACATGAATCTCTGAGACCTGTCACGGTTGAGTTCCATGCCTGCAAGGGGCAGGGCTGGGGTCAGCCTGGCTCCAGTGCTCCATGTCTGCAAGGTCAGAGTTGCAGCCCCTTGACTGACTCAGTCCTGCACCCCTGGCTGGCCCAGGCCCTGTGGGTTCTCCAGTGTGCCCTCATCCTGATCTGCCCGTCTCCCCACAACGGACAAGGGGTACCAGCCACTACCCCCAGTTGGTACCTGTGTGTACATACAGATCCATGAGAGCATTCAGTTTGTAAATTACGCACAGTAAGAGATTAAGAACAGTTACACCATACTGCAGTAAATGTTACTCAGAATTTGTGACTCCTTTATTGCTGGAGTTCCCCACCAATATGCTTCGGGCTAAGGGAACCCACAGGCCGTGAAGCTTCTGTGCTGTTGTCCACCTGGCGTTTGCTCGAGTGCTGCTGCTTTTCGCTGCTGGCGTCAGGAGCAGACAGCTGCCCTTTCCACAGAGCAACTCCTGAGCTCGCTTGGAAATATTCTTCCCGTGTAAAACCCAGGGCCCCTTCCTGGGATGCTTGCTCACTGTATGTCCCAGTTTCCGGCTTGAGTCTTCAGAACGGGTTGTATTCTCTCTCACCAGAGTTCGGCCGTTGCCCCTTAGGGAGGAAACTCTGCCCTTTGTTTAGCCTGCGTCCCCAGCACCTGGCAGTCCTCGTGCTGAGCCAAACATGTCTGCCTAGTGGTAGTCAGCACCATGGAGCGAGCAGGGCCTGGTCCCCGGGGAGAAGTAGGAACCCCAGGGTGGCCAGTGAAAAAGCTCTGCCAACATGTTTCATGGGGGTGCAGGTGCCACGTGACCACTAACCTGTAACGAGCGTTCAAGCCTTCCTCACGTGGACGAATGGCTACACGTTTTCACCCGTGGATGATCACGTTGAAGCCCTTTGGTAGTACTGTGACCTTCAGACGGAGGCAGGATTTTTTTTTTTTCTTTTTTTTTTTTGAGACAAGGTCTCACTATGTGGTCCAGGCTGGCCTCGAACTTGCAGCGACTCTCCTGCTTCAGCCTCCCAAGTGCAAGGATCGAAGATGTGTGCCACCAGCCTGGCAGAAAGGATGTTTTCGAAGGGATTAAAATTTGATTTTCTTAGCCTCAGGTATTTTTTATGTTGGAGTGGGAGCGCAGATTTCCCACAAAATCACCTGTAATTCCCTCACCTGACTCACAATTACATCATGTCCTCAGTGCGCCGCGACATAACAAACACTTAGCTCCAGTTCCTCTGCACATCAGCTGTTAACTGCAGATTCATGTGTCAGGAGACACTGCTTACTGGTTTCTTGTTCTGAGCAGGGTAATGATTAGGCTTGTCGCTGGGGAGGGAACGTGTTATCAGAGGTCACTTGTTCTCTCTCATGAAATCCCCGCTTTGCAGGAGTGAGCCCAAGGCCTGGCAGCTGGCATCCCCGTGCCTCTGCCTCTTATTTTTAGATAGAATGTCACTACACTTCCAGTGTTGGCTTCACACGTCACAGGCCTCCTGCCTCAGCCTCCAAGTGGCTAGGACCACAGACGCGCACCACCGCGTCCTTCCTGCCAGCTGTGTCTTAAACCGTGCCTTCTCTTTTCTTGTAGTTTCTTCAGACGGAGGCACCGAGTCCTCTGCCTTAGTGGATGACAATGGCAGCGAGGAGGACTTCAGCTATGAGGAGCTCTGCCAGGCCAACCCTCGGTACCTACAGCCAGGAGGGGAGCAGCTGGCCATCAACGAGGTACTGGAACCCTGTGTGACACCACCCACTAGCACCCACTTTTCAGGGACCAGAGCTACTTTTGAGACCTCGCCATTGGCTTGTTTTTTTTGAAGTGTATCCCATATCCTGGAGCCCCTGTAAGAACAGCACTGTGGCTTTCTGGCGCTGTGGAGAGAAATCCTGTGGCTGACCTGTGCAGCTGCAGATGCACATCCCTCGGGAACAGGAGCAGCAGTCCTTGGTGTCAGGGCTTCCCTTTCAGTCTCTGCCGTGCTCTCCCTTTCGTTGGATCATATGCTCTTACAGCTGATCTAAAAGATCAATGTTACCATCTGCATCCTAATAAATGCCCAAAGGCGAAGAGAGTCAACCCTGCGGGCAAAGGGGAACGTGGAATTAGCCAGGTGTTTCTCACCCCGCTCTGGCGTTCTTTCTCCCACACACTGCGGCTCTAGCCTTTGTCATGGAAATCTTCCCAGGAGGCAGCTGCAGCTTCTGTGTTCTTACACAGAGTATGACTTCAGCCAGTCAGCATCATCACTGAGGTCACCAGGCTTCACTGTGTCACGTGACACACACCCCGGCCCCCCAACAGAAAATCCAGAGTCACAGTGCTCCAAAATCCGTAAATGTGAGCAACGTCAAGGCATTCGGAGTTTCAGGTTTTAGTTTAGAGTTCTGGATTAAGAATGTTAAGTCAGTAAAGCCTATGGGAATGTTCCCAAGGCCAGGAAACTCTGAAACGGAAACTCCTGATCCTGAGCAGTTTGGGTAAAGATGCTGAGCCCGCGTCCCGGCAGGAGAGGAAGTGTCAGTCCTCTGCTTCTGCACCTGAGAGAGATGAGCAGCGTCTGCTCGTGGCTTTCACCAGCTGTCCACTGTCCCGGATCCTGCTGCGCTCTCTTCAGTGCGCAAGCTCTGACGTTCAGTTAGGGACTAGCATGTGACTGCCCAGCCTGAGTGAAGATGGGAGGGACCTGCAATGACGTGTACATGATGTTAGGAGCGCTCTGCTCCGCAACAGCTGGTCTAGCTGGTCAGAAACCATTTTAGTGAATGTTACAGACATTCAAGTTTTTAGTAACTAATCTGTTAAAGGAGGTATTTATACAGTCGCCTCGTGGTGCAACTTACACTTTTCTTATTTTACCATAGACAAAGCGACACTCACACATCTCATAGAAATTGTACTTTGAATATTATCCTTTCTGGGGCTACAGACAGAACAACCATTCTGTTTTTTGCTTTGGGAGCAGTATTTAATCAGTGATGTGAGCTATTCCAACACTTTCTTATAAAGTAGGGTTCAAGGCAGGCATAGTGGCACATGCCTGGCATCCCAGCACTTGGGAGGCTGAGGCAGGAGAATCACCATAAGATCAAGGCCAGCCTGAACTTGTAAGACCTTGTCTCCAAAAAATCAAATAAATGAAAGAATAAAAAATAAAGTAGGTTTTTTGTTAGATAATTTTGTCCAACTGCAGGATAATAGGCACATCCCGAGTATATTTATCACTGGCTACCTAAGCTTGAGGTTAAACGTGTTATAAATGCAATTTCAGTGTAGAATATTTTCAGGTTGTGATGGGTTTAGGGGTTATAAGCCCACAGAGGAGCCATATCTTAAAGGTGGACTTGGGTTTACTTTTGTGAGTGGGTCAGAGACACCCTGTGTGCGTGTTTTTCCCTGTTAGGTTTATTTTGTGTAAGAAAGAGCAAGGGGTTGAGGGATGCCCCCATGCATCCCCGCCTGCTCGCCCAGCCACCTGTTTTCAGGCTCCGTGTACCCCCTGTCTCCTCTCAGCTGATCGGCGATGGCAGCGTGGTCTGTGCAGAGGCCCTGTGGGACCATGTGACCATGGATGACCAGGAGCTGGGCTTCAAGGCTGGCGACGTCATCCAGGTCCTGGATGCTTCCAACAAGGACTGGTGGTGGGGCCGGAATGAGGACAAGGAAGCCTGGTTCCCCGCGAGCTTCGTCAGGGTAAGGGGTGGCTGAGAGCTCTCGGGGCATCAGGGACCAGGGGGTAGAGTCACCTCAGCTGTCACCATGCAGGCCCAGCTCCGTTGTAGTTGTCTGTAATCCCGTGTGCCCACCAGACTTCACTGCAGTCTGCTGGGCAGGCGCACAGCTATCGTACTGAGGGCAGCCTTGCTGCTTGGCATCACAGCAGCTCTGCCAGGTACAGGAACACGGAGGCCATGGCCAGGCTGCCCCCAACTGGCTCTGGAGAGGCAAGAGCCAGGAGTCTCCTGCCTTTCTCCTGGTGCTGCCTCTCGATCCCCAAGCCACCTGTCCCTGTCTCCTGTCTCCTGCAGCTTCGTGTCAACCAGGAAGAGCCGCCAGAGAGTTCCAGTAGCGGCCACGGTGAGGAGCAGGAGGGCGGCGTGGACCCTAGCCCCCACAAGCACGCAGAGAGCAAGCAGCAGATGCGGACCAACGTCATCCAGGAGATCATGAGCAGCGAGCGGGTATACATCAAGCACCTCAAAGACATCTGCGAGGTGAGGTGGGCCCGGCCTCGGCAAGCCCTGAGTGCGCACCCTGCCCATCCACGTGTCCCTACCTCCCCCACGCCCGCTTCGCCCCCCTGCACCCGGGGTGCTAGGCCCTCAGCAGGCTCCTTCAGTGTGGCCCAGTGTCATCACTGCAGCTCTCTGAGCTGCCGTGGTACCGGCTGTGGGTCCCCTCCTGTGGGTGCCCCTCAAGCGACTCCAGGGTCAGCCCTCAAGGTGTCTGAGGGCAGGACCTCCACAGAAGGCAGCTCTGACAGCCGAAGGTTCCCAGCACCCTGACACCCCAGCGTTGATCACAGACTCCGATGAGGTGCTGAGTCATTTAGACACCCAGTGAAATAGGAGTTTTATCTGGGAATGTCCATAGCTGCATTCTACAGTATCAGGGTGGTCAGCACCCCATTTTATCCTACAGCTCTGAGTTCAGAGAACTGCCCTGTGTTGTTTTTCTTTCCTAGTTTTTTGTGGTACTGGAAAGTGAATGGAACTTGGCCTTTGACAGATCTTTTTTGTTGTTGGTGTTGGTGGTGTTGTTTTGAAACAAGGTCTTGCCGAGCGGCCCAGGCTGGGCTGGAACTTGCAATCCTCCTGCCTCTGCCTCCCATAGGGCTGGGATTACAGGTGTGCGCTCTACACCTAGCTGTATGGGCTTTGTTGTTGTTGTTGTTGTTGTTGTTGTTGTTGTTGTTTGTTTTCATGGATCTTGTCTGTGTGCTGCCCTGTGCAGGGGCTCTGCCAGCCTGACCAGTCCAGCTGTCCTGGTCGTTGGTGCTGAGGTTCACACCATCTGTTCAGCTGTGACTGTTCTGCACTCATCCTGCATCAGTGGGTGACTAACAAGATCCTGACGGTGGCACTTTAGGGAAGTCCAATAATCGTTACACACTGGAGATGGAGAAACTGAGGCAGAGTGGTCATGTGATTTAGTTGATTTAGTTGGTACTTAAACCTAGCCAATCTGCTCCAGAGCCCATACTATTACCTTGTATTGTTTTCCTGTTAAGATCCATGTTAAAAGTTGGTACTATATGCTATGAAATGGTTTGTGTAGTCTGTTCAAATGCATGATGCTATTTTGGCAGTAGCTGTTAACAGCCGTGTGGCCGCTGCTTCCTGTCCTGCTAACTCCTGGGAAGCCACAGCGTAGCACGTCTGCTGTGGCTCCAGTGGGTCCGGCCTCTGATTAAGGACGCACACACTCGGGCTTTGTGGAGAAGGCTGGTGACAGTGGGACCTTCAGGGCAGATGTTCTTGGCTCCCGGCCATGAGGTGCCATCGGCAGAGCTGCTTTCGATAGTCAGCAGGCAGTGACATTCTGTGCCGACAAGTCTCAGCCGCGAAATGGAATTTAGGGATGAGAGAACAGAGCATCTTAATGGTCTTGAAAAAGGGTGGCAAAACTAAATTTTAGGCTCTGGTATTTGAAAGGCTGGCATTTATAAGTAGCTTCTAGAACTTTAAATCCCTAGATAAGTAAAGGATCTGCCTTTGTGTCCTCCAGGGCTACGTTCGACAGTGCCGCAAGCACACGGGGATGTTCACGGTTGCACAATTAGCCACTATTTTTGGCAACATTGAAGATATTTACAGATTCCAAAGACAGTTCCTGAAAGATCTTGAGAAAAAGTACAACAAAGAGGAACCTCACCTCAGTGAAATAGGGTCCTGCTTTCTGCAGCACGTACGTATGTCGCCTTGCGTCCTCCTTAGTAACATCCTGTGAAACAGTTTGAAATGTAGCCTTGTTACAAAGAGAGGCCCCTCTATGGTTTCTTGAAGTGGCTGCTGCCCTACCTTGGGGACAATGGCTGCCCTTGGCCTTTGACAGATGAGGAAACAGACCCGGGGGCGGCCCATCCCTTACAGGTGATCATTACTGTTTAACACCAAAAGATTTCTGAAGAAGTAGTCATGGAGCGATCGTGATGACAGAGCAGAATGTCCCTCACTTGCCAGGTGCTGGGCCCAGTGGCTTTCTAGAAGCAGCAGAGAGGACCTGGCAGAAAGATGAGCATGTGAGTGCCAGGGGCCCATCACGGGCACCAAGAGCAGCAGGATTCTGTAGGGATGCAGTGGGGAGCAGCTTTGGAGGTGAGCAAGGCCAGGGCGCAAGCTAGCGAATCCTAGACGCAGTGTGGCCACTGCCAGGAAGACACTGAGCTGGGCCTGGCCAGATGGTGAGCCAGAAGACCGGAAAAGAGACTCGGTGAAATGGGTGTCTCTGAGGAGTCTGACGAGACTGGTTGTGGGTGTCCAAGGAACAGCGGCAGTCAGAAGTACCTGTAGGGCTTTGGGTTGCGAGAATTACCAGGTGGCTTAGGAAAGTGTTTTGTAAGGAAACAGAGGGTGGGGTTTAGACAGCTGCCCAGCCTGCACCCTGGGCAGGAGGGAAGGGCAGCTGGGAAGAGGGCTGGGCAGTGCATGGGTGACCTCATGGCCCATGGTGGGAGAACAGCAGCTTTTAGGGACGTGGAGCAGGGCCCAAGGGTGGGGCCTTGGGAGCCCATTTCTGCCCAGCCCTGGAGGGTAGGCGGAGGGAGGGGAGCCACAGCCAGGCAGGGAGCAGGGGAGACTCACTAAGGCCCAGGTTCAAGAGGGCAGGTGGCCTTCAGGAGGGTGACAGGCAACAGACGCGGAAGTGAGGCCCAGCTGGTGCAGCTGGGTGGGAGACCTGTGGGAGGAGGTGGAGGCCTGAGTCAGTGCAAAGTGAGGGGTGGCTCCAGACCTGGCCCCTGGGCAGCTCCTTCCTCCTCTGCTGCCTCAGGTCACAGCTGGCGGAGACAGGGTGGCGAAACACCCAGCTCCTTCCACCCACCAGAAGAGGACCCAGATGATGGTGCCTGAGCCCGCGCTCGAGCCCCTGCTCTTTTCAGGCATGAAAGTGTGGCAGTGTAGTGTGGCCCCTGGGATTTCACACCCGTCCTGCCGGAGAGCACCCACTCCCTGCCTCCCAGGAGCATCCCCTTGGGTGCCCCTGTGACCTGACAGCACAGGTTTCCCTTCCAGCAAGAGGGCTTTGCCATCTATTCTGAGTACTGCAACAACCACCCCGGCGCCTGCGTGGAGCTCTCCAACCTCATGAAGCAGGGCAAGTACCGGCACTTCTTTGAGGCCTGCCGCCTGCTGCAGCAGATGATCGACATCGCCCTGGACGGCTTCCTCCTCACCCCCGTGCAGAAGATCTGCAAGTACCCCCTGCAGCTGGCGGAGCTGCTCAAGTACACGACGACGGAGCACAGGTGAGGCCGCCTCCCCAGGCTGTCCAGAGCTCTTTGAGGAAACTTCCCTATGAGTGCACTGAAACTTCCCTTAAGATTGTCAACTCCAGAAACGCATTATTTGAAGAGACTCCAGAGATACGAAAAAGGGATAGAGCCAGGCATAGTGGTACACATCTGTAACTCCTACTGCTCAGGAGAGCTCGGCCAGAGCAGTTCAAGGACAGCCTGGACTAGGTAGTGAGGCCCGTCTCACCCCACCGCCCCCCAAAAGAAAAGAAAGAAAATTATAGTAGTTTCCTCCTTTATTAGAGGGTTACCATCCAGAAATCCCAGTACACGGCTGAAACTACAGATGGCACAGTCCTTGTTTAACAACCAAGTTCTGGTCCTGCATTAAACGAGGAGTTTTATATAGTGTGTACATTACAGTATTCAGGACAAAGAAATGGTCAAGGGAAACTCCAACTTGATGGCTTTGCTTTTATTTGCATGACTTATATGCAGCACTGCAGTGTAGAAGAGAACATAAAACTAATCAGCAAACTTACAGGACTGAATAAACAAGGCCTATGGAGCCTCGACAAATAAACTTGACAGATCTTACCAAAAAAAACAGGGGTAGGTCTGATTAATGGGCCACAAGACGAAGAGTCATTAAACAGGTAGATCACTAAACAAGGAATATCTGTCCTCATCTCTGTTTAGACTCACTTTTTTCCTCTGCATGCATCCCTGTAATAAAGTCTAAGGTATGAATTAGTCACAGTAAGAGTCTAGGAGCAATAACTAATAATAACATAGAACAATTACAAGGTTCTGTAATGAGCGCTCTAAAAACACGAGTTATTTCTAGAATTTCCCATCCAGTGTTTTCAAGCTACAGCTGATGACAGCTAAGAGAAGCCTCAGGGGATGGGATGAGGGGGCTGCTGTACCCACAGGGGTGGTCACAAGGTGCCCTACAGCTTGGCGTGGGCTCTTCACACACCCCTCTGTGGCCTGCGCGCCGAGGAGAAGCCAGGCTCAGAAAGGGAATCTCGGTGCAGACTGCAGGGAGTTACAGCAGCCAGCCACTGAGCAGCAGAGCACAGGCCGGGGTTCACTGAAGCCATTAGGCTGAAGGGTAACAGGAAAGTATGCATTGAAACGGGTGAAAGGGAAAAGTTCAACTCTCTGCCCTCCTCTCCCTCCCTCCTTCCCTGCCTCTCTCTGATACAAAAAAAAGGTCAGAAAATATTCTGCGGAAAAAATTAGAGAAGTCAAATTTTTGTAGTCATTTTTTTTTAAAGAATGAAAAGACATCATGAGAAGGAACTAGGGAAAAACAAAGAGAATTCCAGGTTCCTGCCACCGGCCCTCCGATGGGCATGGAGTGTGGGGTGTGCGCATGGGAACGTGTTAGGGAGCAGGGTCTGAGAGGTGCAGGCAGCCCAGACTCCAGGGCGAAGGTGGTGGCCAGCGCCCCAGGCCCCACTAAGGGTGATTTCCTTCCACTGGCCTTTTTTTTTTCCTGTGAGCATTTTGCAGATTTTGGCTGCTTCCAAAGCTAATGATAATTTTAACAGAAACGACAAAAGGCGTGTTTCCTTGTCGTACATAAAACAACAAAAATTTCAAATACAGTTATATTCTCCTCATTTCTAAGATCATACCAGAAATCTTACTTTGCTTTTTTTTTTCATTGTTGGAGGCCCCCCGCAGAGGTTTTGGTCCCGGTATTCTGGGCCGTTCCCCATGTATCTTTTCGTCCTCCTTTCTGCTCTGCTCCTGTAGGAATAAGCTGCCGCCCAAAGACAGCAAAGTCTGCTGAGTGGGGCTGTGTGGGGCCCCCAGGAGCTGAGTGCCACTGTACTTGGTAACCGGGCCCCAGCATCTGCTCGAAAGGCTTCCCCGCCCTCCCACCTGTGCAGGAGGGTTTAATTCAGGCTGCTGGAGACCCTTGTGTCCCCGTCCTGCATGTCACTATAGGAAAGTAAAATTTTAACCCATTGTAAGCCAGGCAATTGGTTTCCATGTTCCAAAAATACTAATGCAGGGCACACCCTGGACAAAACACTGCCAGGCAGTAGTCACTGTGCTCTAACCTGTGCGTGAATGAGAAATATGGTTTCAGTTTTCTCAAAATGTGTGGGGCCACAGGCCTATTGGGGGGTTCTATTTGTATTTTTTAATTATTTGTTTTGAGACAGGGTCTTTCTTCACATTGGCCTTGAACTCACTAGGCAGCCCAGGCTGGCCTGAAACTCACGGTGATCCTCCTGCTTCGGCTTCCCAAGTGCTAGGAGTACAGGCCTGCACCACCACACCCATCTTGGGGAGAACTTCCTGTTCTGATCTGACTCCAGTACCCATAAAGCCCAGAAGTGAAGGGCTGCTGATGAGGTGGATGCTCCTAGCAAGGACAGGTAGCTCTCCACTGCAGACATGGCCTCCTGGCTCCCTTCCTGAGCAGGGTGAGCGGTGAGACTCATACAGGAGCTCTTGAAATGAGCGGTGATTTTTAAAGCACTCCATATCGCAAAACTGGTTATGGCAGAATCAAAGCAATGATGACTGTATGAACAGAAATAACCCATGGTCACCGTCACTTAGTTTCTTATGCCACCACTTTCCTTCATTGTGATTTTGGGAAAAAGAATGAAAATATTCTCATTCCAGAACATTCGGCCTTGCATTCTGCAGCTCCTTAACCTACGCAGGCTCTAGTCCATTCACAGAGAGACAAGGGAGGAAACGAGCTGTTGCTCCGATGCTGCTCTTTCTAGGGAGCAGTGAGCACGCTAGGTCTGCATCCTCACCTGCAAGTTGTGTGTGATGTGATCGAAACGAACCTTCGTGTTGCAGGGATTACGGTGACATCAAGGCAGCCTACGAGGCCATGAAGAAGGTGGCCTGTCTGATCAACGAGCGCAAACGCAAGCTGGAGAGCGTCAACAAGATTGCGCAGTGGCAGGTGTCCATCGTGGGCTGGGAGGTGAGCGGCACACAGGCACACACACACCGATGCCATTCACAACTGTCTGCTCTGCGCCCTGCCGGAGGCTTGCTCTGCCATCCTGTTCACGATCTGAGCGTCCTGAGGCATCTCACTCAGGGGAGCGGTCCACCGCCCCCACCCCAGCCTCAAATCAGCTCCCAGGAGAAGGGTCCTCTCTGCCTGAGCCAACGGGCCCTGCCAAGCACAGAAGGGCGGGGAGTTTGCCAGGCTCGCGGATCTAGAAGGCAGCAGGACTGAGTTTGTTTAATTTTTTCTAATTGTTTTTCACTCTTATTTTTTGCAGTTTTTTTTCAATCAGTTATGAATACTGTAGGTATTCATAATGATAAGTCATCAGAGACAGTTTGTACCTATGCTATGTCTGGCTTCTTCCCACCCCCCTTCCGTCCTCCCTTCAACCCCTCCTCCCCTCCATAAGCATTGTTTCCCTTTTCCTTTTATTCTTTTGTTCCTGTGGTTGTTGTCCCTTCCTTTCTCCCACCCCTCCTTACTCACCTTCTCACTTGAACATTTTCTTCCTATTTCCCAGTATCTGTCATACATTTTGGTCCTCATTTAGACTTTCAGGGAGCTGGGGGTTTAGCTCAGTGGTGTAAGCACCTGCCTGGCACGTGTGAGGTCCAAAAAAAACCACAAGAGCTTCCATAAACTTACAGTTTCCCACATGTAGGAGACAGTGTGCCGTTTACACATGTGTGCCCCACTTATTTCACTTAAGACTATGGCCTCAAGGTGCAGCCATTTAGCTAGCAGTGTCTCAGGGGTACTCTTGTGGCAAAGTAGCATTGCACTGCATAGAAACCACACCTTCTATCCATTCATCAGTTGTTGGGCATTTGGGCTGTTTCCAAGATTTAGCTAAGAACAAGCAAGCTGTTGGTTTGTTTGTTTGTTTGTTTGTTTTGGTTTCATTTGTTTTGGTTTTGGTTTTTTGAGACATGTGGTTCAGGCTGGCCTTAAACGCACAGCAATCCTCCTGCCTCAGCCTCCAAAGTGTTGAGATTACAGGTATACACCACTACACTGGGCTTCACATTGTTTGTAGACCAAGTAAAGTTTTTGTTTGTTTGTTTGTTTTTGTTTTTTAGTACTGGGGTTGGAAATCAGAACCTTCAAACCTGGCTACATCCCCAGACCTTCTTTAATTTTCTAATTCCTGAGGCAGGGCCCGCTAAGGTTCCCTGACTTGAGCTGCTGCTGCCTCATTCCCCGATGATAGGCATGCACCACCAGGCCTGGCAAGGGGGCTTTATCCTACGTCCAGTGATGGTCTCAGAGGATTGGGAGTTTGGAGTGAGCAGCTGGAATTTTAACTGAAGTAGATTAGAATGGTGAGAAATGCTTGCATTTCAAGGACCTGGCAGGCTGCTGGAGCATGAGTGGACAGCAGAGATCACTGGGCCTTGCTCTTATTCCCTAAGTGAGGAGTCCAGGGCACAGAATGGCCACAGGCAGGTGAATAAAAGAACTATTCTGGAGTCCAGCCTTTTTTGACTCCAAAGAACATAGTTAATGCCTGGGATTAAAGCAGAATAAAATCTTATAAAACAGGCTCTGAGGTAGCACTGGGTTAAAGCCAGTGTAAATTCTGTAAGTCTGTCTTTCCTTCCCACGTGGGACTCTGACATTAGGGAAGTTTTGCCAAGAGTTCACCGGTTTGTTGCCTTCAAGGCCCTGTCCCCCCATACCATGAGGTCAGCATCGGTGGTGTCAGCTCACTGGAAAATCCAAGACAGGTTGTCTGCCAGGGGCCCTTCTGGATCCCTGACTCTGGCAGGACTCAGACCTGGGAGAGCCAGACAGCACGTTTTCATCTTTGCAGGGCCACAACATTCTCGACCGGAGCTCAGAGCTGATCCACTCTGGAGAACTGACCTGTTTCACCAAGCAAGGCAAGAGCCAGCAGAGAATGTTCTTCCTGTTTGACCACCAGCTGGTGTCCTGCAAGAAAGACCTGCTGCGCCGGGACATGCTGTATTACAAAGGCCGCGTGGACATGGACCAGATGGATATCGTGAACGTGGAGGACGGGAGGGACAAGGACTGGAACCTCAGCGTGAGAAATGCCTTCAAGCTGCTCAGCAGGACCACAGACGAGGTGCACCTGTTCTGTGCCCGGAAGCAGGAAGACAAGGCCAGGTGGCTGCAGGCCTGCGCCGATGAGAGGCGGCAGGTGCAAGAGGACCGGGAGATGGGTGAGCGCCTGGGGCCTTGGGCCATCTCAGTGCCTCTGCTTTTTCACTTTCTCCTCCACCCCATGTGCCTGGTCTGCCCCTAGCCCTCTCCCTCAGAACGGAAGCCCAGCCCTGGGCAGAAGAGAAAGGTCTGCAGGCCCTAAGTACTTCTGATCGCATGTGTTAGGCTCTCACCGGCACAGTTCCTGCAGCAGCATTTGTTCATTGTTTCCCACGCCAGTGGGAATCCCTGCTGCACATAGACATGGTGTCTGTAAAGCCCCAGGGCACAGCAGGCCTGTGGTCCAGTGTGGAAGAGCAGCCCCCACCTGGTCCCCGGGCCCAGTGGGGATGATGGAGCGAGGCAGGAGACCAGGAGGAGCTGTAGTGTTCTCTCTGCTTTGCCCCTAATCAGCCACCCACTCCAGGCAGGCGCGGGTTTTGTCCTCGGCCCTCAGAGGTCAGGCTCACTGCTGTCCGAAGCAGGTTTGTCCTCCCAGAGCCTCTGCATAGGGGCTCCCCAGGGCCGTCTGTCCCAGGGCGCTGTGCACAGGGTGTCCTTTAACCAAGAGGACAGCTAACTCTCAGCACTGCCGCCTACCAGCAGTCAGCTTGGGCCTTGACCTGGGCGTGGTTTTTCAGGTAGGTGTGGAGGACAGTTGTTAAGATGTAGATGACACCCACAAAATCCCAGCTGTCCTGGTCACATCTTACTGCCTGGTGCAGGTCCTGAAGTCAATCCTCAGTGGAATGATTGGATTTCAAGGTCCCGCAGTTGTGTCCACTCTGACGGAGGCATTTTCAGCCCTGCTCGTCTTCGAGGCAGAAAGGAAATTCCACTGCATATTGTGTGGGTGGAGCCTGGAGAGGCCTCTGAGCAGGGTCCATGGAGCCCAGACAAGCCCAGAGGCTTTGGGTGTGAGCCAGAAAGACGCTGGCTGTGGGCAGGAGTCAGGCTGAGAAGCAGGGGATCCCAGGGCCAACCCTGGTGGAGTGCATCCTGCAAACTGGGCCACCACTGCTTGTCTGCCCTGGGTTCCCGAGGCTGCGTGCTCTCACTGTGCTCACCCAGGACACGTGGAATGTGAGCACCCTATCCCCTGCAACGGACACAACAGGAGGAGTCTGGACAGGCACCGAGCAGCCCTGTGGCCCAGGCCCGAGGCAGCTCCTCCTACGGGTGCCTCCCCGTGCCCGCTGCCCCCGGAGCTGGTGCCGCAGGGCCGTCCAGGGCGCCCTATGTGGCCACTCTCCTGCAAGTCTTCCCTTGCACATCCCAGCTGGCTGGACCTCCCAGCAGGCTAACCTCACTGCCCCCCACCCCATCCTCTGTCCCCCACCCATGCCACACCGGTCCCAGGTAACCCTCAGCTTGGGCTCTCCACAGACACCACTTCTTTTCTCAATCCAGGAATGGAAATCTCAGAAAACCAAAAGAAGCTTGCCATGTTAAATGCTCAGAAGGCCAGGCAGGGAAAGGCCAAAGGTAAGGGTGGGAAGGCTTCTACCTGTCTGTCTGTCTAACCTGTCAGTGTGTCCCGTGAAGGACGTGGGGCCGAGCCCAGTGTCCTCAGCGTCATCCCCAGTGCCCTGCATCCACAGAGCATCACTGAGCCGCAAGAGCCCCGGCGCTCCGGCTCCCCCGTCTGATCCTTGCCTCCTGTTCTCCTCCTCCCAATCCAGGCTACGGCAGCCGCCCTGCGGCCCCGCTGCCCCAGAGCCTGCACCCCCTGCACCAGCGCCACGTCACTGTGCCCCCCAGCGTGCCCCAGCAGCAGGTCTTCGCCCTGGCCGAGCCCAAGCAGAAGCCGTCACTCTTCTGGCACACCTTCCACAAGCTGACACCCTTCCGGAAGTAGCAGCCAGGCTGGCGGGAGGGAGGGCGCCACCCCGTCTCCTGGGTGTGCGGTGCCACCTGGGGCGAGAACTCCTTTACGGGTGTCAGTGCAGGAGAGGAGGTGCCCCAGTCCTCTGAAGCATCAAGACGCGCAGCTCCACCTTTCCCAGAGGGGTACCCATGGCCACCTGGGAGCCATGTCACCTGGGCAGGGAGCCTCGAGGCGACAATGGACAAGCCAGCGCCCTCCTGCCACAGTTCCAGCCGCTTCCGTGTGGGATCTCGGAGGACCGACCCCCGGGCTCAGCGTGCCCGCCTCTCCTGGCCACCCCAGAGCACACGCTTGCGCTGTGGCACTTCGGACTGTGCCACAGTGCCCTGGGTGCCATCCAAGTGCACACGGTGGCCGAACGACAGCGTGGGCTTCCTCTTAGGAGATTCCGCTTCCCAGGCTGGAAACAGAGCTACCTGCCCTCGACAGCTGGCCGCATCAGGGCTCTGCGGGCGGAGGCTGCCGTCTGGGTCAGGCACTGCCGCTTGCCAGGCTTCGACCATGTCCCCACCGACGGAAGTTCAAAGACAGACTTCTAAGCGAAACTCCAGGGTGGAGCAAGCAAACCTGGGGTTTGCAGCCACCTGTGTCACAGAAGCCCGAGAGGGCCGCATGGGACAGCACTGGCCTGGCACGCGGCAGGTTCCTGCAGAGCCCTGCGACAACGCCGAGGCCTGGAGAGGGGGCTACAACGGCAGGAAGCCACTCAAGCCAGTACCCGCGGACAGTAATCTTCTCTGTGTCCACACTGTAAAGTTTGATGCAAATACCTTTTAACCGTATCTGGAAGAGAGAGACCTTGTGTTCTGTTCTACCCAGTGACTGGCTGTGTGTCACGGTGGCACACACTTGTGGACTGTTGGGACGAGTTCGTGTTTGTGTGCTAGTCTTGCAAAATGAGTTTTATTTTGCTGTGTTGTCTTTTCTGAATCCTTGGCCCGTGCTTGAGAATAAACAAGTGTAACAGTGTCAAGAGACAAAGGTGTTAGCTCCACAATGTGGTTCCTGGGGTCTCCATCTGCCTCCTCCTGGCTGACGGAGATGACAGCGTGCATCATCCTGGGTCCCTCCTTAGGGCATCGTGTGGCCATTCAGGACCACTGTGCCTCACAGCCTTGTTTCTGACAGGGAGCATGGCCCTGGGGCCAGCAGCCCCGGGGCAGCCCCTCTGGACTTCCCCACTACAGGTCCCAAGACAGTAGTGGTGCGGTGGCTTCCTGTACAGAAGCAGGCATGTGTGTGTGTGTGTGTGTGTGTGTGTGTGTGTGTGTGTGAGAGAGAGTCGGTTGCATTTACATAACTGACACTTTTACTAACAAAATGTAATGATATATTTTGGAAACTACTTAACATGCTTTTCATTGCTAAGTAGATATGTTCCTTTGTACAGTAATTTTGAACAGTTTTTTTAATGTAATATAGAAAATGCTTTAAAGAAGTAAAGAGAATTACTTGTTTATGTTACATTTTCAGTGAGTATTGAACTCCAGCAGAGGCAGTCACAGAGCTTCCATTTGCTAATATTTACTAATGGACAGTGAAGAAATGCTTTAAGCTTTGTGACCAGACCTAGTGTACTTTTCAGCTGAGCCCTTACTTCTGGTTCCCACCTACCTCCGTGGACTTCCGAACAGAATCAAACACAAAAACATATTTTTATTAAGCTCAGTTCAAGACCCAGAGTTGCTCCGGTCAGATTTATACAGTATGAGAAGCAGTCGATCAAATATCTGTCCTGGGTAGATCCTACTTAGGTTGTCAAGTACTTTTGAATAATGCTGATATATTTTTTAAAGGGTAGAACACACTTTACTTCTAGAAAGTCGGTGTATCTGGCTTGGGTTCCAGGTGCCAGACTTCTGCAGAGATTGAAGTCCTGAAGTATTTTCATTTTCAGTTTGCCAAAGTTCCTAGTCAACTTAAGTCGCATCTTCCACCTGGATTGTGTGTGAATGTCTTGGGGAATTGCCACCCTCCCCTCCCCTGGGTCCCTTTGTTCTTTAAGTTTCAGATTTTGTCAGCTCTGTTAAGACAGCTGAAATGGTCTTGGGCCAAAAGCAGCCATGTCAATTTTGATCATAACCTAAAACATACATTAACTTCATAGTAGGTTATAAGGAATTGTAAAGAATATTTGGAAAATCCGAAGAAGTAACATTCTGTGTCCTTGGCCACTAGAAAGAAAATGGCCAGCAGTCTGCCCGAGCCTTCATGGGATACTAGCGACGGGCTTGTTTTCCTTAGTCTGATTCTTGTTCCTGCTGGCACATCTGACTCTGTAGCTGAAAACAGGCCCCACCATCAAAAGCCATTTGTAAATACCGTGCCTTTTATACCTAATCCAGTTGAAGGTTTGACCCACATTGCACTTTGCTGTTGCCTTTACACAAAGCAAAGTTACACTGAATTCAAAATTCAATTCACAATAGGAATCATCTGTAAGAAGGTGCCAGGTGATCCAGCAACTTGCCAGGTAGAAATCCCCGGGTGCCTCCGTTACTGACATTCCTCAGTGTTTCCTTGACAGAATAAAGCTTCCTGATTGCCCAGAGCTGACAGGAGGATCTGCTTATTATTCCATAGGAGAGGAGAGGAGAGAAGTGTCCCTCAGCAGGTGGTGCCAGCACATATGCAGAAAGGTCTTTCTGGTGGTTTGCACGCTGGACTCGCTTCTGGGTTAAGCAAGCAAAGTCTCCCGTGTGAGAGGCTTAACCTACAAACAGCTCTCTGTTAAAATGCTCTCGGCTAATGCTGTTTGTTTTCGGGATGCAATGAACTTGGAGTTCAAAAGACTTAAGGAAGAAATAAGTGGGAACTTTCTTCTAACTGGTCTTGGAGGGGGAAGAAATGCTTCCATATTTTACACGAACTTATTCAGCTCCAGCATCCGTTTCATTGCTACTTTTAGTCAGGGCATAGGCATTAACATTTGTATTTAGGAAATACTTTGAATGATTCTGTAATAATTTGGGGGGTACATATTAGCACCTTATGCGATTTCTTGTCTACCACGCAGAGTTTTTGGTAACCTTTTCCCTTATCCCCATACAGATGATGTCATCTGTGTAAGTCAGGTGACACTTGTGAACTAGTGACGTGGCTTTGTCAGCTGAAGTCTGATCCATAAGACTGCTGTAACTTCATGTGTATTTTTGTTGAATGCTTTTTTTGTAAAAAAGAAAAAAATTATTTACAATGTTATTTGAGTGATTTCTTGTAAATGCTGAGTCTATATTTGTTTTGTATATTAAAGTTAATTTGCAATAAATGTCTAGTACTTCATTTGAATAGTTCTAGCTCCAGTTCTGGAAGTGCTGGTTTATAGTAGCAGCTGTTACCAGGGATGACAATGGATGAGTGACCAGAAGATGCCCATGTGCCCCTGTGATGCCCCAGCTGCCCCTTAGGCAGGATCCTCTGCTGAAGGTGTTGCTCTAGCCCTAGGCGCCTAACCCTTTGGGTGTGGGTTGGATAAGAATTTCCTTCTCTGATTAACAGCCCAGAAAACCCAAGTAAATAGCCCATTGTTTATTGTGACTAATCAGAAAAAGTTTCCCAAGAAAGGTTGCCAAAGGAACTTTGGCTTTTTGTTTGTTTTCTCCTAAGGAGTACCTACCCCAGAGTGACCTGCTAGACCCCCTTGGGCTGGACAAGGGCACCTCTGCCTGGGTGAGAAGGTGGGTGAGAGCACTGAGAACCTATGATGGTCAGGATGGCACCATAGACAGGAATTAAGACTACAGGAGGGCGGTGGAATCTTCTAGAAGAGTTGGGAGATGAACTAAGGATGTCATCACTACAAGGTGGAAAAGCCAAGGTGAAATGTGTGAAGGGTGTGTGGTCAAAGAGAAAGACAGACAACAGCATTACAGGATTCAGCATGAACTAGGCAACACCAGAGCCATGCAGCAGCAACACAGTGATGTCAGAGAAGAGCCCTTCTGCCTGATGGGCTTCATGGGGAACCCAGGATCCTGGGAGGCAGAGCCCACAGTTAGCCACACCAAGCAGGATTGGACTTGGGACCACATTGTCTCCATCTAGCTGGAATTGTGTGACAAGTTGCAGAGGCCCCAGAAAGGTGAGCAGAAACTCATGTGGCCAGTGGTGGCACTTGGAATTTCCTACTGTGACCAAAGTGATCGAAGAGGGCTACTGCTGAACTTGGGTCTTTAGGACTTGGCCAGTGGGCGTTGGAGAGAGAGGGTAATGGGTTGGGAGCAGTGCCCAGGCTGGGGAACAGATCAGGAATTTGGGGGCCGCTCCACAGTCCCAGCAAGTCTCAAGGGGCCTGGTCAGGGAGACACAGGATCAGTTCCTGCTGTGGCACAGTGGGGGGGGGGTCAAAACCAAATGGAAGAGTGGTGTACTGAGAGGGGTGACCAGCCCGTCTGGTGGGTGACCAGCATGGCGCTCAAGAGAGGTCAGGGATGGAAAGAGGGCCAGTCAGAAGCTGAGAGTAGAGAAGCCACCACAGGTAGTCCCCAGAGGGGTCCCTCCAGCATCTGGCACACGCTCCAGGGAGCACACCCTCATAAAGCGACTTAGAGCCCACCTCACTACCTCGTGAGTCTGTCTAGTACCACCGGCAAGCTGATGTTGGGGTCGCGGAGGCAGTGGGAGGCCTGGGTTAAGGTTGTGGCTTGGCTCGATAAGACCCCACCTGCACACCCCACTTCCCATGTGGCCTCGGCAATAGAGCCCTTGCACCTCCCAGAAAGAGTGGGTCTCTGTCCCCTTCATACCAACTGCAGACAAATGTTAGCAGATGCTTATCAGGAAAAGGTAAGGATGGATGACGTGTGACATGGAAGAAAGTTGCACTGCGTTTTTCCCAGTGGCAGGATGTGCAGTATCTGAGTCTACCATCCCAGGAGCCTGAGTCAAAAGGCATTACACAGAGGTTTGTGACATCTAGTTAGATGGTAGGTATCTTGGTGACCTGGGATCCAAGTAAGACCTGGAAACAGTGAGGTGTGGATGCCTTTCTCCATCTCGAGGTCCTCCATTTCACTAGAAAAGAAAGAAAAAGCAACAGAGTCCTGCGCTTCGTGGTGCTGGTAGAAGATGCGACGTGGCCCAAGTGTCGCTGAAACTTCTGAAACTCTTCCAAGGCATCTGTGCCGTCCCCTGTTCCCTCCCCTTCCTGCTGTTTTGCACTTGTATCCTTGAGGGAATTGTAGGGCAGGAAGGCATGATTTTTAGTTTGCTCTGTTCCTGATTTATGCAGCACGGGTCCAGCCAGCAATCCTGGGGCTCAGGTAAGTGCACTGGGAAAAGGTTTCTTAACATCCACTTGATGCATGTGGGTCCTGAAACAGCTCACAGTGTCAGTGTTGGATAACCTGGCTTCATTATTTGCAAAATAACCAGATGTCTTGAAGCGTTTTGGGTAGCAAAAGGCATATGTTTCTTCCAAAATTCACTCTTGAGGAAGAGTTTGAACAGGAGATAAAAACAGACGGCATTCTTTTGGCAGAACTCTGCAAACTGGCAGGGAGGAGAGATAAAAGCTACAGACTAAATCCCAAGAATACAGACCTTGCTAGAGAGCCTTCTCGAGACTATAAATTATAAATTTAATTTATAATCTAAAGATTATAAATCTTAATGTGTATATTTTTATGCTTGTGACTGTGCTAATTGATGCAGTGTAATGTCTTATGTTGAAGAAATACAATGTATATATTGCGTGGAAGAATAGACACTCAAGAAAAGCAGCTTAGGGTTACTGGATTCTGAAGCTGGCCCATTAGGAAGGAGGTCAAGCTGGCAGATTATCCCTGACTCTGTACCCACAAGGAAGCTGAGCTGGTTTCTGACAGGTCTGTCGTAAATGTTAGTAGTTGGGGGGAATAACAATCTTGAAGGTGGAAATCCTTAACCATTGCTGTGATAAAAAGTCTATCAGGAGGGGCACTGGGTGACCCTTTATCAAAAGTTTCAATAGACAGAAATCTAGGTAATGCATGGGTGAATCAATCCAGAAGCTAACTAAAAGTCCTTTTTATTTGGGACTAAAAACCAGTAGCTCCCAAGTAATTCAAATAATTCCCAGTATTCCTTTGCCTCTACCAAGTCGGAATGTCTGGCTGAGATGGTCACAGCATTTGGCAGTAAGCTGCGTCTGGTCACTGCATGTGTGTTGGTCACGTCACCTGTGCCCACACTGGAAAGGCCATGTGTCCTAGGCTTAATGGACTGCCAAGTCCACAGGCCTGCCACACTTCTGACTAGAGGCCAATCTGTGGGCAGCAGGTGGCTTATGTTACTCAAGACTGTGGTTGGATATTTAGCTCAGTGGCTCAAGGGCTTTCCCAGTAAGCGTGAAGTTGTGAGTTCGAGTCCCCACACCAAAAGAAAATACTATTCAAGACTGGACTCAAGTTGTGTCACCAAGATCCCAAATAGCAGAGCTTAAATGAGTTAGAGGTACGTTTCCTCTGGGCTTTCCTAGCAAAGGTGGGAATTAGCCTTTTGCGATCATCAAGAAACAGAATTTATTAGTGCAAAGTGTTGCCCTCCTCCAGCAGAGTCCCAGGAAGAGGGAAAGGGCACAGGAGAGGGCACACACTTCCCTTAAGGTCCAGTCCACAATTGCGCACGTATTTCATTTCCGAGGGCCAGAATCTAGCTTGGCGGTCATAGCCAGGCTGCAGGGCAGGCTGGGGGTCACAGCCTATTGTATCAGGTACCCTGCTAAAACCGTGTTGCCTGGATGAAGGGAGAAGGGCCTCGAAGAAGCGCAGCAATCTCCACCAAAAGACTGACAAGGACCCGATCTGATCAGACTTGTCACCTCCCCAAAAGATGCCCAGTTTGAACTAGGGTATTGTTTCATTCATTCAACAACTATATGGCTGAAAGACGATTACTTTCACAAAGCTCTAACCCAGCTGAGGTGGCTCTGAAGTGACCGTGGTCTGAGCGCTCGGGCAGCAGTAATCCACGAAAGAGGGAAAAGTATCAGGAAGGGGGGCTGGGGAGCTGCTTGCTACTCACAAGTTCAGCTCAGAGCTTCGGTCAGTTTTACTAATAGAATTTCTGCCTCATTCCTTGTGCGCACCCTCCAATATTCTACATGAAAGCGCAAATCCTTTTCTAAATGTCCTTATTGCAGATAGGACCACAACACTTTTTACTGCTGCTTTGGGAGTGTTCAATAAAAACCATGAGCTTTGTGTTAAGCACAAGATGTAAGCAAGAGACATTCTGCCTCCACCAATGCACAGGAACACTGGAAGAACTTCAGGACACCTGGGTTAGTTAGCTCTTTGCCGGGTGGGAAACAGGATGGAGTTTATATGACTTGACACCTTGATGGTTTTGTGATCTTTTCATCGCATTGTGTGCACATTTTGAAAAGTCAAAAGGAAAACTATACAACCGTAAACAAAGGTTGGCTGGTAAACTTGGATTTGATTGTTCCCAATCAACATCAACATCTGACTAAATTAAAAAGGCAGATGTTGATTATTTATGGCTTCTGCTATAAGAAAATCTGACTTCATTTCCTGAAATGGGTAAGTTTGTGACTTCAAAGGGAAACATCTGCCTTTCCATTTCCCCAAATACTCTGCATTAAGCTGTACCCTGTGATACTAAAAGCTTCTACCATGGTCCTTGGAGACAGAGCTAGTTTTGGGTTTTTTTGTTGTTGTTTTTAACAAAAAGAATATGCAGAAATACGTGTATAGTGCTACTTCTAAAAGGCACCAGAAAAAGCCTCCTGGTCCTCCATTCTGAAGGTGCCGCATTCATTTGCATATGTTTACTTGTAATTTCTGTCAGTATTCCTGTATCCATAGGTGCACACATAATGTGCAGGACATTTAGTCGATTTTTAAAATTCATGCTGTAGACATCTCTTTGCACATCTTGCCCAGTGTCCATAATTATTTCAGTGATTACATGCGATTTACTTCTGGAATTGCTCCCGATGACTACACCTGGCGCTGTGTGTCTGTAGTTATTCTTATTTGGCACACAGATCTTGGGTTATTTTGGGGAATTGTAGCAATGGGATTACTGAGTCAGCTGTGAACCTCCTTCACAAAAATCCCTTCTCAAAGGGTTGTACAGAATCTGCATGAATGAGGGGCTGGATTGTGTGTTTATTTTGCTTCGTCTGAGTAGGATGTGTTCATCATATTTGATAATTACTTGTCTGACCTGCTGGTCCAAGTTTAAGAAATGCCACTGGGAACAAAATAACGTGGGAAATGCAGTCAGGTGGGAGCCAGAGCTTTAATCCTACAATTACCTAGTAAAATCCAAAGCCCTCCTGCAGCAGGAGCCATGAGGACATTGGGGACGGTGTCCTGTGAACCTTGGGGGGGGGGCACTAGTGGGCCCTCACCCTCCTGCAGGGGTGCAGACAGCTCCCTGCTGGGGAGCTCGGTGCCTGGCTTCTATTCTCAGCTTCTGTCTGAGGTTGCGCTACTGCTTAGGCCTGATAAGGTTGAAAAGCACACTGCGAGGGCACAGTGTGCACAGGGAAAGGACTTGAGATGCACTTCTGTCTGTCTGCGTGACTGTGTGTGTGTGAGTGTGTGGATACACACATATGTGCCCTTCTTCACAGTGACCTCCCGTAACAATAAGACTTCAGTTCAAAGAACATGGGTAGTCCCAGTAGGACTGCATGACATGCTTTATTATGTGTTTAGCTTTTTAATTGTGGTAAAATATATATAACATAATAGCTCACCATTTGAGGCTCACAGCTCAGTGACAGCAAGCTCATTCCATTACTGTACGTCTGTCATCACCCTCAGTCCCCGCAGCCTCTGTCCCATCCCTGGTGTGTGTGTGTGTGTGTGTGTGTGTGTGTGACAGCTCAAGGAACCTCGCACACTTGGACATGGAATGGTGTAGTTCTGTCTCCCTGGGACTGGCGTGTCTCACCAGGTCAGGTCCGCGAGGTGCATCCATCGGCATCGGGCGTCGAGATTTCCTTCCTTCTTGGCTCTGTGGCCGATCCTCTGCGTGCTCGGTGCACTCCGATTGTACATCGTCTGCTGCTGGAAGTCAGGTTGCTTATGCCTCTTGGCTATGGTGAACAGTGCTGCCTTAGACTGGGGTGCTGGGTTCCAGTCACTGCTGTCAGTGCATTCAGAAACGGAGTTGTTGGACCAGGTGGTAACTCTTCATTTCCTTTATTGTTTATAAGGTTCTTTTTCATGTACACTGGAATCATATTTCTCTTTATCTAGTCTTTTATATCTTCTCTTCTCCACCCAAAAAAGTAGTTTGCACACAACAGAATACTGCTGCACCACAGAGAAAGATAATGCTGAGCTATTTGTAGGGAAATGGGTATACTGTGAGACCATAATGCTAAGTGAAATGAATTAGACACTCAGGCTTAGACAGTACTGGTTTCTGTTATAGGAGAAACCCACAGAAGGATGAACAGCAAATTAAAAGGTGGATAACAGGAAGCAGGGAGAGAGCCCATTGTCAGAGGGGAAGGAGACGAAGAGATGGAGGGAGGTGGTCAGGAGAGAAAGGATGGGGGAGAAAGTAAAGGAATAGGACGTGTTACATATGGTGCCAACTGCACATGAGGAATGGAAACATTATTGCTGCAGATATATATGAATAACCTAAAAAGTGGCTTGCCTGAAGCAGTCATCAGTAAGAGGATCCTGACTGCAAACGTGACTTCCTCGTTTGTTGTTCCCCACTGCGAGTGGTCCTAACCACGTGTCCACTCCAAGGACAGCCCCCACTGGTAACTTGCTCGCTCAGCTGTCCCAGCCTCCCCCAGCTTTGGCTCCTCTCCACTGCAAGGGCAGAGCTGTGTCCACAGCCCCGGCAGCCAGGGTTTCTCCTCTGGGTTTCTCTCTCTCTTTTTTAGTTGAGACTCGGACATCTGACCATGAGGACCTGGTGGCTGCTGCTTGCCCTGGGAGTCTGCACAGGGGCCATGAGCTCCCAAGACACATGCAGGCAAGGCCACTCTGGCATTCCCGGGAATCCCGGCCACAACGGTCTGCCCGGAAGAGATGGACGTGATGGAGCAAAGGGGGACAAAGGGGACGCAGGTACTCACACCCGGCAGCTGTCTCTGCCTTCTCCCCTCACCTCCCCTTCCCTCTCACCTACTCCTTCGCCACCTGTGTGGTTTCTGCCCACTAAGCCCCCACCCTTCAGCACCCTGCAGCTGTCCATGGAGTGCTGCTTTGTGCAGACTCTGTGTGCGGTGCTGGGGTGGATGGAGGACAGGCTGGCAGGACACTGCCCTCAGTGGGCTCACCTGCTGAGGACACATGTTGGTTAGCCATCGTCTTTGCTGCCACAGAGCATCTTCAGTGGTAGAGGATGACTTTGATCTTCCTGCCTTAGCAACAGGTACGATAGGTCTTCAACAGGAGGCCAATGAAGACCAAACCCTACACATATGGTGTGGTTCCTATACACACAAACATGCCTAGAAAAGGCGAATCAATACATTAGAATGTAAAAGATTAACAACAATAAATTAATAATAATAATAAAATAAACCAATAGTAACATGACACTGTAATCAAATCGCCAGCCATTAACCTTACACTTTGCGACCATTGTTAAGAAAAACACAGCTTACTTGAGAACAAGCACTGGGGTACTGTGCTTGTCCATCTGATCACCAAGATGCCCACTGAGTGACACACTGGACAAAGGGATGGCTTGTGTCCTCAGCCACACTGAATTGGATGCAAGGACAGCATAAGGGTTTTCAGGCTGGTGCGTAGCTTGCCCTGGGCACAGTGGTGCAAGCCGACCCTCCCAGCTACTCTGCAGGCCGGGGTAGGAGGCTTGAGCACAGGAGTTCAAGGTCAGCTCAGCAACAACAGTACCAGATTGCTTAGTTTTAGAATTTCATGGTTCAGGACCACAGCTGACTGTAACAGAATGTGTGAAAAGTGAAACTGCACATATGGCGGGGAGGTATTTGGCAAAGAGCACATAGTGACAGCACAGGTAGAGGTTAGGTAGGTGACAAGGATAAATTCAGACCATAGCCTGAAGCCACACAGCTGCTACTGTTCCTCAGAGTCTGTGACACATTGTCTTAGTTACTTTTCTCTTGGGATAAAATACTTGATGCCCAAAATTAAGGGAGGAAAGGTTTATTTAGCTCACAGTCTGTGGAGGTTGCAGTCCATAATCAGCTGGCCCCAAGACAGTGTGACATGGCACAGGGACAACAGTTCTTGGTGACAGAAGACAGCAGAAGCAGTAAGAGTTGGTGGGATCAGGGCAATGCCAATCCAATCAGTGGACTGATCTAGAAACCACCCAGTCTTAATCCCAGCATTGCACCACAGATCAGTCACAAAGTCTAGATTCAGATTCCCCTGAAAAAAGCCCGCCTCCCATAACTGCATGAGATTTTGGGGAAATATCCAGACACAAACCATAACACCCATCTTATGAGGCCTCTACCCCAGTGTTCAGGATCTGAAGACAGACTCCAGATTCTTGAGGGAAACTTTGGAAAGCCAAAAAACCTTGTGGTTTACAACAGCACCAACTGATAGGCAATTATAAACCAAAACACCAAAAACGGCACCCAGGATTTGGAGGCAGATTTATTTAATGTCAGACAGATACTGACACAGAACCAGTTGTTGAAAATGTTAGGCCTTGAAGGCTCATGTATGGAAGTTTTTATGGGTTTATAAGTAAAGACTACTAGGCTGTCTTCAATTGGTTCTTACACGATGCATCAAGATGCGTAGAGGGCCGGCTATGCAACACAGGGCCAGCTCTTTCTAAGAGACAGAATTAACAGGACCTGCAACAGGAACTGTCACCGGGATAACTGAAGTACACTGGCTGGGGAGCGTAGATTTTTCTGCTACCATAGACTCAGTTTCTAACTGGGGTGTTAATCTAGACCCCTGGCCTTGACCCTAGTTTTACATACCTAAGACTTGTGCAGAGTAATCTACTCATCCAGGTGCAAGACAAAATTAAAACATTTGCTGATAGTTTAAAAGATACTGTAAATTGGTATTTACAATGTGCCATGGCGCTTGGTGGCCCAGTCCTTTACAGAGTGGGCAGTTATGAGCTGAGGGTGTCCAGATGGCTTTGCTGCTCTCCAGCCCCTGGCCTGCACATCTTTCCTCTGAGTCTCTTCATGAAGCCCACACAGCGTCTGTCTCGGTCAGTCTTCTGCCCACCTCATCTCCAGCAAGAAGCCCACTTCAATTATCAGCAAAACCTCAGTCTTAATGAAATCTAGTCTGCTCTATCCTGGGACCACAATGGTGTGTTTGCATATTTTATTTCTGAATATATGGGGACTGAACTTTTAAAAATGTTTATTATACAATATTTTATACACACAGAGGATAGGTGATAAATGGGTAGATAAGGAAAAATAAAACACTCATATCTAAAGCCATATTTCTCTACCTCTCCCTTAAATGTTTTACATATATTTTCCATGTGGTTTATATGTATTCTCTATAAAATTATTTCTTTTTAGGGAGTGTGAGACAGGGTCTTGCTGTGTAGTTCAGGCTGGCCTCAAACTTGTGGAGGTCCTCCTTCCTCAGTCTCCTGAGCGCTGGGATCCCAGGCACATGCCACCATGCTCAGTTTGTAATGATTCTTACAAGGATATTCAATCACATCACTTATCCTAAAACTTCACTTCATCTATATCTTACCCTTTTTCAATATTTGTGTGTATACTGTATGATAAATACATGACTAGCACAGTTATTGTCATATCTCAGATACATAAATGTACCCTGTTTAGGGTCTTTCATGTCTTGCTATTTGGGGTTGTATGAACAATAATATTTAGAAGCCAGACTCTAGACAAACTCAGAATGAAGCAGGGAATCCAGAAAGAAGCCAGAGGAGGAAGATTTCTGCTCCTAGGCCAGTGTGGGAAGGGGCAGGAGAGGATGGCAGGAGGTTGGTGAGGGCTGATTCTTCTTGGAGGCCTCCCAGGACCGGGGCTGGTTGTGAGTGTGGGCTGGAGGGCTTGCGGCCAGGAGGCTAGACATTAGTCCTGGGATCTGGTCTCACCTGCTGATGGCCCCCACAGTCAGGACAAGGGTCTGAACAGGGCTCTCTGCTGCTTTGGGAGAAGAATCCAGAGTCTGGGGTATACCAGGTCGAGTGCACCTGCTGCCATGGCTGGGGCCTCGTCTATCTGGCTGCCACGCACAAGCCACAGTGGCCCAGAGTGACCCACTGCAAGCATCAGTACTGGCACAGAGTCCACCACGCCTCACTTACCAGATGGTCCCTCCGGGTCTCCCATGACAGCTTGACCCATGACATCTGTACAGGACACCAAGAACACCCTTCCAGAACCATCTGCCCCCCACTGTCACATGCTAGGCTGCCTGTGTTTTTACAAGAAGGGAGGGCGCCTTCTTCCCCCTCCCCATTCACAATAGACCGGAAGGAAAGCAGCTGGCGCCTCACTTCCTGGGTCCAGCACAATGACGGCCACGGTGCCTCTGGTACACACACTTTTCTCAGCCTGCACCCCTGCACACCCATGGCTGTGTGCTTCAGAAGTTACTTAGTAATTCACTTATCTTGCACACTGGTTTCCACCTGCCTCTCTGCATTACGCTGGTGTGGGGCCAGGCACACCCACCGTGCTGGGTCACCCAGTCCTCTCCGACATGCAGCACCATGTGCACGCATGGCCAGGAACCTCGGAGCTGCAGTCCAACTCTTACCTGTGCTCTTTTTTCCACAGGAGAACCAGGCCGTCCCGGAGGCCCAGGGAAGGATGGCATGAGTGGTGAGAAGGGAGAACGAGGTCAGGAGTGATCTTCGTCCACCGTGCTCTGATGCTGACCTCCTAAGGGATGCACAGCAGTTACAATGTGCCTGGTGCTTGGATGGGTCCTTGCCGAGGCCCAGTGGTGGCCCATGTCAGAGACTTCTAGGCTTTTGCCTCTGGGAGGTCACGATGGATGTGAGGGTCAGCAAAGTGTTCTGCGAAGTCCCAGATAGCGAATGTTTTCAGCTTTGCAGGCTATGCCCTCGCCATCACCGCTGTGCGAGTCCACTGCAGTACTGAAAAGCAGCGGGAGGTGCTGTGGGGATAAAGGTGGCTGCGTCCCAGGGAGGCTGTGTAGACGGAGTCTTAGCTCCATGCACTCATCACATACCGTGGAGTCTTCCTTTTGACAAAAGGAACTTGTAAACTATTTTTAGCTTGTGACCCATACAAAAACAGGCAGCAGGATGGCTTGGGCCCGAGTCACAGTTCACTGACTGTGACCCAATGGTGACACCTGCCAGGGAGGCTGGACTTGGACTAAGTGCACCTGAGCCTACCGCATGAAGCAGGCAGCATTTGACTGACCTGAGCTGGGGGTGGGGAAGGATGTGGAGGACTTGTCCAGCATGCATTGTGGGGGCTGCAGGACTGGGCAGTCAGCCCAGGGAAGGAAGGTGGTCCAAAGTGAAGGGTGTTTTTGTTTTTTCAGTACCAGGATCAAACCCAGGCCTTCATGCTGAGCTACATCCCCAGCCCCTCTTTATTTATTTTTTAATTGTAAGACAGGGTCTCATTAAGTAATTAAATTGCTCCGGTTGGGCTGAAACTTTGAATCTTTCTGCCTCACCCTCCCAGAGTGCTGGAATTACAGGTGTGTAATTCCACCCTGCCCAGCAATCTGTGCATCTCTGAGGCTTCCCTTGCATTGCCTCACTGGATGCCACAGTCCTACTATAGTGGCCAGCAAAAACACCAAAATGACACCCAGGAGTGGGAGGCAGATTTATTCACATTGACAGGCTCTGATTGGAATCATTCCCAGAATATCAGACCCTGATTTCTGTGGTTATATGGTCTGGGGTTTATATGGGATAAGCCAGCAGGAAGGACGGAGTAGAATGGCTTGTCGACTGGGGATGGGTGCTTACAGTGTGCATCACAGTGACCAACCATTTCTAAGAGACAAAAGCATCAGGAACTGTAACAGGAACTATTACCTAGGCAACCAACAAACTGAAGTATACTGGCGGAGAAGGGGTATCTTTTGTTACCTTACAAAACATTAGCATACTATTCCAGATCTGTAGATAAGGAACAGAGGCGGTACAGACAGATTGCTGGCCTGATGTCCACTGCATGAGGGGTTAGAGATGTGATAGGATACAGTCCTGCCAGAGTCTACACCTGCAAGCACTGCTCTCCCACCTAGGCAGAAGAAACAGGAAAGCACCAGGTGTTTACCCAGAATGACAGAGGGGCAACACACGGGGCGAGATGGGCGGGCTGGGGCCGGTCCTGAGACCAAGAGAGCACATTCTGTGCTTGCTCCCTTGAGGAGCTCTGGAGGGGCTGTTGTACCCTTCACTCGGTGGCCTGTGTCACTTTGCCACTGGATTCCTTGCCATGTGGAAGAGCGATTCTCAAAGTTAGGCCTGGAGAGTGCCCTGGTCCGCATGGTAGACTTCAGTGCTAAAGAGCTGGGCTTGCTCCTGTGAGCCCGACACGCAGGGGACAGGAGTCCCAGGGCATTGGGTATGTGTGATGCACATGCATGCAACTGGGGAATGAATGAATTTTCGAAACCCAGGCAGACACAGCTGTGTACAATGTGTCTCAAACAAATGCTCAGTAACAGCAAACCCGGAGTTGTTCGAGAGGGAATATTTCACAAACTATCTCTTTATTTTCTTCCTCCACTTAGGGGCAGATGGAAAAGTCGAAGCTAAAGGCATCAAAGGTGACCCCGGCTCCAGAGGACCCCCAGGCAAACATGGGCCAAAGGGATCTGTGGGTCCCACAGGAGAGCGAGGGCTCCAAGGCGAGATGGGCCCTCAAGGGCAGAAGGGGGACAAAGGTGACGTGGGCTCCCCAGGCCCCCGAGGTCTGACAGGCAGCACCGGACCTTTGGGCCCCACTGGCTTAACTGGCCCCATGGGCCCCATCGGCAAGCCAGGTCCCAAGGGAGAAGCAGGACCCATAGGACCCCAGGGTGAGCCCGGGGTCCGAGGAATAAGAGGCTGGAAAGGGGATCGAGGAGAAAAAGGCAAAATTGGTGAAAGTCCTGTTTTGCCAAAAAGCGCTTTCACGGTGGGGCTGACCGTGCTGAACAAGTTCCCTGCCTCGGACGCACCCATTAAATTCGACAAGATCTTGTACAATGAGTTCAACCACTACGACGTGGCCACGGGGAAGTTCACGTGCCACATCGCCGGCACCTACTACTTCACCTACCACGTCACAGTCTTCTCCAGGAACGTGCAGGTCGCTTTGGTCAAAAATGGGGTAAAAGTACTGCACACCAAGGATGGGTACATGAGCTCCGAGGACCAGGCCTCTGGCGGGACCGTCCTGCCGCTGAAGCTGGGGGACGAGGTGTGGCTGCAGGTGACAGGAGGAGAGAGGTTCAACGGCCTGTTTGCGGATGAGGACGATGACACCACGTTCACGGGCTTCCTGCTGTTCAGCAGCCCCTGAGCGAGGAGTCAACTGTATTCCTCCTTCCAAGGACCGAGATGAGCCGAAGAGAGTGCGCATGCGCAGCTTCTCCTGAACTCGGTTCCCTGTAACTTGAATCGTTCCAACAATACATTGTTAAATATTTGCCCTGTTCATTGTTATTTTCTGGATTTTTCTCTGCCCTGCTTATTCTGATTTACTGAATATTTCCATCACTCCTGTCATCTGGTGGGGACAGGGTCCTGCTGTCACCTGAGTGCTCCAGGGAGCCTCAGCACCATGCATTGTTCCTCCGGGTCCCTGAGGACAGGAGGGAGGCAGCAAAGGGAAAGAGATGAGGCTCAGCCCAGAGCTCGAACACTTGCCTGGATGCCCTGGGCCCTGGGTCTCAGCCCCAGCACTACAAAGAAAGAAGAGAGGAAAACATTTGTTCCATTTAGTGACCAATAAAAACTGGCAAAAAGGCCTCTTCCAGAGGGCTCGAAATATTTTAATTTTCTAATTGAAAAATGTCTTTGTTTATCTTCACTTTTTTTGGCTCTCTGTCCAGTTTGGCAGCCCCTGGTCAGCTTTCAATCTGTACATTTGATTTCCTGGGCTCTCATAACCAAAGGTCCCAAGCCGCGCTGCTTACAATGACAGACATGCACTCTCTTGCCCTTGCAGAGGGCAGAAGCTGGAGCTCAGGGGGTTGGGGATTCGGGGGAATGACCCACCTTAACCTGTCACACCTGTGAGGACAGCCCTTCTCCAAGTCAGAGCTCAGTCACAGGGACTCAGAGTTAGGACTTCAGTGAAATTGTAGGAGACACAGTTCAACCCTGAGCAGTCTTCCCTCTATCTCCCCAAAGTTAATGTCCTCCTCACGTGCAAAATATATTCACACCCATCCTAGTATCCACTGAAGTCTTGATTTCAGCACCATTTTAAGTTCCAGACTTCATTCTCTAAGTGATTCAAGTGAGTCACAGGACAGACCTGTCATATGATTACCTTCCTTCCGCCTGGCATACTGCCCCTGTCATCTCAGCCCTCAGGAGGCTGAGGCAGGAGGATCGATGTGAGTTTGAAGCCAGCCTGAACTGCATGGTGAGACCCTGTTGCCTCCCACTCACCAAAAATTTTTCTCTCTGAACACCTGTGAAACCAGACAAGTTACCGCTTTCCAAAACACAATGGTGGGTTAGATGTGGTTAGTCTCCTTTCTCAAGACACCGTGTGTGGCATCTCCCCAGACAGAGTGACAGGACCCTGCTTCTCTCTTTGCTCTTGTGTCTGGCTAGGCCTGCTCTTGCTTTCCCCATGCCCCACAGGTGCACATCAGCTCCTTGATGGTCCCCGGTCATCTCTAAAGGGCCCTACAATTAACCCCCCCCCCAGCCTGTCCAAGCCTTCCTTAGCCAAGGTTACCATCTTTATAGCTCTGTATCTTCAGCCCTGTTTAGCCACTCCCATCACTCCCACTCTGGGTCCTTGCTAACCTCACACACCTGTCACCCAGGAACTCTCCCCTGATTAAGGTGTCTGAGATTCCCACATGTCTCGCATGAAGAAGCCATGAGAAACATCCCCACGTCCCCTACTCCCATAACAATAGAGACAGGAAGGTCGTGCCAGGCAGGGGAGGCTGTTACCAAGAGGCACCCCAGAGATCCATCTCCTCCCTGGGAAATGTGATCACACTCCCTCCATGCCCAGATTCCTCAAGGCCGAACTCCTCCCCCGCTTTAAACCCTCTGTTTATCCTCACTGCCTGCTGATTCCAACAGCCGGGCAGTTGCTTACAGTGCTTAATCAGGGGTCTCACTCCATTCTGTGCCTTTAACAGGCGCCAGGTAGTAATGGAGAAATATCCATAGATATCACAGTTCCTACAGTGACTAGTTCCTGTGCAGCCTAGTTTGTTTCTGAGCCCTGGGGTAACACTCAAGAGTTACTGACCAAGACGCAAAAAGATTTACCTTTATTCTTCTCCTCCTGGCTAAGAGCTGAGTGGCTCTGCTATGCCCCAAGCTCCTGCTATCATGCACATCCTCATCACAGGTATAAAAGCTGCCGGTCCATCCGTCCACAGACAGGAACAGCTTAGCCAGGAGAACACTTTTCCCTTGATAAAATAAGAGCACATTCAAGGCTGGTGTACGTTTAAGGTACAGCATTTTCTACACTTTAACGGGACTTTTCCATCAGACAGAACTTGTCTTCCTGAGACTGGGCTGTCTGGAAGCCACAGGATTTACAATAATTCTAGCCATGCTCCAACAAATCAACACGGTTAAAGAGATGCGCTTGTTTCCTAGGAAGACAGGGTTTTTCTGAGCAGTCACCATGAGCAACAGCAAGACTATAGATGAAACATTTAAAGACGGCAGTCAAACTCCATGGCTGTGGGCTCCACACCTGCGACTTTAAACAACATTTAAAAATATTTGGAAAAAAATTTGTACTGATCATACACAGATTTTTTTTTCAGGATTCCTTAGATAATATGAAATAACTAACATTCACGTCATTTGGCTGTACTGGTGTCCTAAGTAATATAGACATGGTTGGAGGTACACAGGAAGGTATGAGGTTCTATGCAGATCTTAGGTCATTGTATAGAAGCACTCCACCAGCACCTTTAGGAGCTGGCCCCCCAGGAGTAGTGGCGGTGGGGGTGATGCTGGGACCAATTTCCCATGAGTAGCAGAGAACAACTATGTTTGGTGGAGATGGACAGTGTTGGAACTATACAAACTTAGGTATCACGACTTCTTAGGGGTGTTCATTGGCCTTCTTAGACCCACACTTCTAAGGAAAAGAGCCAAGACAGGGTAAAGTGAGGAAGGCAGAGAGAAAAGCTTAAGGAGGCATCGCTCTCATGCCCAGTCCGGCATGCACAAGAGTGGGGGCCACCTTAAACTTCCAGGTTTGCCGCTTAGCAGAATGTCTGATCATTGTATGTATTTCCCAGTGCAGATTCAGGGTTTGCTATGGGCCCTCCAGGGGGTTATTAAAAACATTAAGACTCAGACACAAGAAACAAGACTTTATAAAATTCTTTTGTGGCAAATATACATGATAAGATATAAAGCATCTTTCAAAGGACTTGGGATTATTTTTCAGTGGTTGTAAAACTGAGAAGCAGTTTCTGAAAGTGTCACTGTAATGCTCTCAGCAGCTCAGTCCCAGGCTTTATGCGGTGGTGAGCTCCATGCTGCACTCTGTGTAGGTACCTGGCGTGATATCCACTCCCACTAAAGAAAGGCTTTTAGATTTGAGTTTTTTTTTTTTTTTTTTTTTTTGGACAGGATGAGCATTTGCAGTCAATACACTGAGTTTTCCTTCTTTCTGACATAGTATCTTTGCCCTCCCTCTGCACAGGAAGCCCGCTCTGTGGGCTTGAGGTCTGCATGCCAGGCCGGGTGGCTCCGAAGGCCCAGGCACCACTCAGCTACAGATGGTGCATAATCAACATGCAGTTAGGAATTTAAAAAGTAATGAGTTGAATCACAGTTTACCACAATATAGAGAAATACACAATTTATAATTATGTTTTTAAAAATTTCTATAGGTATACGATGGTCACATTCTTAAATTCCCCTAGTTATTTATCATCATTATCAGTTGGGTTTCTTCTAGCCCAGTTCCAGTCACGTGAGGGAACAGTGCAAATTCTAGCAGTTCTTTACTCCGGACACAGAGGGGCGCACACCCTGAGGGCTGCGGTGGAGGCGGCGGGGAGCCGCTCTTGTCCTTGGCACTTGCTCTCTGCTGAGGGCCGCGAGCCCCGCCCCGGAAGCGAGCGTCACGTGACGCGGCGTGGCCTGCTACCTAGGAAACGCAGAGCGCTTGCTTCCGGGTCAGCTGAGGCACGGTGCCGCCGACCTCCGGGCTGAGGCAGAGGCTGCGGCGGGGACGCGATGCTGTGCACCCGAAGGCTGCGCGGCCTTGGGGCCGGGCTAGCGGCTCTGCGGCCGGGGCCAGCAGGCCGCGTTAGCTGCCGAGCTGATATTCGAGCCCGCAGGGTCAGCACCGGCTGGGCCCCGGTGGGCGCCGCCTTCAGCGTCAGGCCCCAAGGCCGACTCCTGGACGTGTTCGGAGAGCGCCAGGTGAGCTTCGCGCGGTCGGCAGCGCCGCGGGCCAGGTTGCTCGGGGGTGGGAGGAGCAGGGTGCTCCTCGTTCCGGCGTTCTCACCAGCACCCCTCTCCGAGATGCTGGGTTACGGGACAGCCCGTAGTGGCCCTTCATTGGGGTATGAGAGCCTGGAGCTGCCTCTGCCTGAGCCGATCGCTTCTCGGGAATTTAACCTATAGAAGTTGGTCTTGGCGGCTGTGGACCTGGCCTTGTCGCTGCCCTGATAAAGTTTATTTCACCGCCGACCCTTCTCCTGTACGCAGGAGGCCTTGCTCGACGGGAGCACGGCTGGCGCCAAGGTGTCTTTATGCAAGGAAACACTTTCCTCTGTACGGTGATAGTAATTCCGTGGATCCCTGGAATCCCATCACCAGTTAATAAAGTATTTCAAAACTTTAGTATGTAATTATTTCAAAACTTGGTCTATTTTAAAACACTAAACCCTGTTGAAGCGAGTCAAATTTTCTGTAGCGCATAGAGTCGGCGATGATTTCTTACCCTCAGAAGTCACTGGGCTGAGTGGTTTATTCCTGTACCCATCCTGCATGTCACGGTGTGAAGCCGTGGGTAGGGACTCGGTAACTATTGACCAAATGGATGACTGAAAGGTGAAAGGGAGGCAGACTTGAAAAGGACTTGCTTGATGTCTGTTTTACTTTGCATTTGTAGATTTTGTCCATTCTGGGTTGAGGGTTACTTTTATTTAAAAAAAAAAAAACTTTTAATTGTAGCGTTGCTTATAAAGAGCCTTATAGAGGATATGGTTGCAGCGAACTTAGTGGTCTTTGGTATTTCATCACTGTCCTCGACTTTGTCATTCATTTTGGATGAAATTTTAACATTCTTTTTGGTTGAAGTTTTCCACACCCGCTCCCCATAAGGATGGGTGGTGTTGGATTAACGCAGTGTTGCGGGGCTGTTGTATCTGTAAATAACAGAAGGGTGGGCTTCGATTTGAGTGGGTGAATAAAACTAAATTTAGCTTTATTTTTCTTTTGTGCTTCGTGATTTTAGGCACTGATAGCATATTTTCAAATTTATGAATTGATTTTTGCCTAAGGAAAAAACAGTTTAAATTTTTTGTATTACCTTGACTGGTGATCCAAAATGTACAGTTCTCAAGAACAATATGGAAAGGTTGTACAGGAAGTGAATGTAGTCTCTCCTTGAAAGAAATTCAGTGTCAAGAATTTTAAATTTATTAGGTCCTGATTCTACTGTGCCCCAAATACCTTTTTCACTCATTTTCTTCAACTTAATATTTTTAAATTTTTATTTGTCTTTGTGGCTCTGTCATTGAACTGGGAGCCTGGTACATGCTAGGCTGCATCCTACCATTGAGCTACATCTGCAGCTCTTCCACTTCAATTTTTGAAGAGAAATAGCATCATTTCATGTATCCCTTCAAGGAACTGTGCTCCTTATCAGGCCTGAAAATTTTACCTGTTGGTGCTAGAAACCCCCAGCGAAGCAGTCATTTGTTTGCTTTGCTGAGTTCGCACCTGATTGTCCTTGCTCATGTTGGGCAGTTGCAGTGCAGATTGGCAGAGGACACCAGCACCCTAGTACCTAGTGCAGGCCCCCTGCGAGGCTGCTGTGCAGAGGCTCCCCTGGCAGACTTCTGCTCAAAGCCTGCTGGAGTACTGCCTTGTGTCAGGTGTTGGAACGGTGCTGGAGTGCAGTCTTAGAGTGGGCACCAGGGCAGCCCAGGAGGTGAAGGACCTAAAGCTGCCACCGAGGATCTAAATGATTGGAACATTTGGTATGGAAGAAACAAGCTGCTCACCTCCTGTGTCAGAGCCCTTTCTTCTCAGCAGAACTGGTACCTCTGGCCACTTCTTCTAGGACAGCATGGCACATTGGGTGTCATTCATTAACCCAACAGACAGGAGCTGGTGTGTCTTTGGATAAATTTATGTTTACAGATGTTATTAAATGCTATGATAATAATAGTAGTAAAAAAAATGGAGGGCAGGCTTCTGCCGATAGGAGATCGCGCTCTTAGGAGAGAAGACTTTGACTTAGACCCACTGCAGTAAAGAAATATGGAAAGATGTGGGCTTTTGAGTACAGAGCAGGTGTGAGTTCTGTTTCCCAACATTGTTTAGTGGGCTCAACATGTTTTTGCTCACCTCTGAGAACATATTTCCACGTCTGAAAGGAGAGTGACGCTTCCTGCTCCAGGGCTGTGCCATTTAAATGAGGGACCCACACAGAGTACACAGCATGCCTCATGGTACGCAGTCCGTGTGTACTAAATGCTTGACTTTTTCCCTGCCTTCCTGAGGATTCTAACAAGTGTGACTGAACTGATACAAGAGGACAGTCCTTCTCATTAGTGATTTTTGTCTACTGAAATCCTTTTGGGAACATTTGTGGATAATATTGGTCTATGATATGGCTTAGTATGTTCATTAATTTTTTCTAAAACTCTATACGCTGAATAATAACTTCCTCTTATAGTTGCAATAAACTAATTGGCATTAAGTCCTGAGCCTTTGATTTGTAGATGTAGTCCTAAATGCATAGTATTAGATAGGAATTTAGTGTAACCATGCTGTGAAATATATAGTCATCTTCATTATACCTGTTGAAAATTGAGATCTCGGAGGACAAATAACTTCGCCCAGGTTACTACTTGGCTTTTAATGATTATCATTTCTATTAAGTGCTTTCTGTGAATTGGGCACTATTACAGTTATTTTTTGCATGTATTATTTCATCTAATCCTCCTAATCACTCCATGAGATAGGCTTGTGATAGTGATAGGGCTGGATTTTGAATCCATATCGTTCTTTTTTTATAATTAAAAACTGAAGGAAAATTAAGATCATAAAACATCTATGGTCTAATCTGTGTAGTGTGATAGAGGGTGCAGAAGAGAGAGACCCGTGATCATACCGACGAAACAAAGTATCTCTGTAAATAAAGTATCTGAAGTAAACACGGCAGTCATACCGTTAGTTATAACTGGACGTATTCTGTTGGTTTTAGGGTCTCTTTGGCGTCCCTGAGCTCAGTGCACCGGAAGGATTTCGTGTTGCACAAGAGGCGGCCCTGAGAAGGACAGAGGTGCTGGTGGAGCAGGCATGTTCCACCCCGGCGGGGCCGGACACCGTGCGCATCTTCGACGAGCTCTCGGACACCCTGTGCAGAGTGGCTGACTTGGTAAGATGCTTCGTCTGCGGACACCACTTCTCTTTGAAACAGTTCATGTATTAAGCAACGTTTCTCCTTTGTTTAGAACTAAAACTACACTGTAATAGGTCTGAAGTCATCGGGAGCTGTTGTGTAGAACAGCGGCCAGTGGGACTGGGCAGGAGGAGCTGGGCACAGTGATGGACGCTGCCGGCCTAGTGCTTGGTGCTCCGCTTGGGTAACAGAGGGACGTTAGGGAGACCCTGGTTCACAAAAAAAGGCTAAGGATGTAACTCAGTGGGGAGGCCCTGGGTTCAGTCCCCACATGGTGGGGTGGTGGGAGCGGAGCAAATACGGGAGAAGGATGTTTGGCACTGTGCTTTAACATGTGCCCGAGAGGAAGCGTGCACTAACCGTGTAAGGAAAGAAGAGTTGTTCGACCAAGATTTTTCTGTTCCACAAAGATCCTTTGTTCATGAAATCTTCTACCAGAGTTCTGATAGACTCTTTTACGTGTACATGCATAATAGATTCCCCTTTTTATAAAATGAATGAAAACCAGTGTTCATAAACCTTTTTAGAAATGCCTTTTTTAAAATATCAGATTGGTTGTATTAATACCTTTATCCTTTAATTAATGCCTTTATCCTGCCTTGAGTTGAAGTGGAAATATACCTAGCGATCTCGTGCAACTAGGAAACCCCTTGTGAGACATCATGGCTTTCCACCTGCCCCAAGGGCCCGGGCTCTGTGGCTTGCCTCGGTGAAGTCTTCTAGTGTGACCTAAAGTTGGGTCATCCAGGATCCTGTCTCCTGTGTGCCACTGAACGATTATGGTCTTCGTTTTTGTGTTCAATCAGCCATGAGCCCCTGCCTGTGCTTGCCACTGTTCTGGGCACCAGGTGCATGGCTGAGAATAGGCTTCGGTGCAGCATCTGCTGATTTTAGGTCCTGCGGAGCGGGGCCCTGGCGGGAGGTCTGTCTAGATTTTTAACGATTTCATTCCCCCAGCACATTTTTACCTGGCCACTGCTGATCTGCCTTCCATCCTTTTCAGAATGTCACATAAATGGGACCTGTCTGAGACCGACTTCTTCCATCAGCCTAATGCCTCCGCATCTTTGCTGTTTGCCGGTGTCAGGACATTTTCTTTCTCTGTCACAGGAAGTACCCTTGCTTAAAGGTTTCTTCCTGGGAGTGACGTCTGGGGCCTGGCAGTCAGGTCTTGGTTGGGCCAGGTCTCTAGGCCGGCCCTGGGTTGTGTGCCAGCGCTGGCCTGGCCGTGGCGGAGCAGTGGACACTGCCTGGGCGGAGGTGCTGCGCCTCCTTGGCCTAACTGTGCCCTGAAGTCAGAGAAGGAAAACATGCGAGTGGAGTTTCCTTGTGTGCAGAGATGGACCGTGGCCCTCCCAGTCAGGGGATTCATTTGTTGTATTGTCTTAGTCTCTCTTCTAAGTAATATCCTAGAATTTTTCTCTGCATTTTGCTTTTGCTCTTCATGAAACAATTTTAAATTCTCTGTGCTGTGTCTTGTCCTATTTTTGAAGTTCTTTTGTTTTAAATATTCTTGGTATATACTAGTATCTCATTTTGAAAACTATTTTTAAGCTGGGCCTGGTGGCACATGCCTGTAATCCCAGCCTTCTTCTAGGAGGCCAAGTTAGGAGGATCCAAGTTCAAGCTTGGCTTGAGCTATTTATTGACTTAGCAAGACCTTGTCTCAGAATGGGAACATTTTAAAAAAGGAAGTGGGGCTGGTTATCTAGCTCAGTGTGGAAGCTTTGGGTTCAGTCTCTGGTATCACAAAAGCCAAAAAACAACAAAAACATATTTTAACAAATTAGCTATAATGTAACTTACTTAGGTGTGTAATTCTCTGGGTAAAATGAATATGAAAGAACTTTTCTCTCTGAATTTTTAAAATATTACCTGCCTAAGTGCTCAATACCATTGTAAGGCAATACAAGTACTACATAAACTATTTCTTATCAACTACAGTTGTCATTTTGTTTTCTCTTTTAATACAATTTTTATATAACACAGTTATTTTCTTCATCACTTTTGAGATGTGTTACCAGTGTTTTGATTCTGGTTTTTTTGGTACCAGGGGATCGAACTCCCGAACTCACAGTTGCCAGGCAGGTGCGTATGCCGCTGAGCTAAATCCCCAGCCCGTGTTTTGATTCTTAGCATTGTAACTTATGCAACATGTAAATTCAAAATTTATAAAATCCTGCATGTTTTAAATTTTACAAAACTCATTTTTCAGATGCATCAGCACTAGTGTCTTATGTTACTTTTTGTCACAACAAATATATCAAATTTAAAATTTTTTTACATTAAAACTTGTTTGATAATAGAATTAGGAAATTTTACCTTGTGGTTTTATGTTATAATGTAGTTATATCGTTTTCTTGGAGAATAAAAAAAGTGTAGTATTTCATAGTTTTATTTTCTAGTTCATTGGCAATTTTCTTTTGTAGTGTATACTAGTTAACACAAAAGCCAAAACCTAGTTTATATGATTTCATTTTTTAAAGAATTGTTAATTCAATTCTGGTAGTTAGTGTAATGGCATCAATGGTCATTGTGAACACTATTAGCTGGAGCTGGAATTCATATTTTACTAAATAGGCTGCAAAGAGAATGTACCTTTGTTGTTTGTTTAAAATGAACTGTGTCAGTTGTAGTGTGCCAGTTTTTAAAAATGCTTTGAGTTAGGCTGGGGATTTAGCTCAACGGCATAAGCACCTGCCTGGCAAGCATGAGGTTGTGAGTTCAGTCCCTGGTACCCCCCCAAAAAAATGCTCTGAGTTACTCTGTAGTGCATAGTTATCATGAGAACCATACTGCAGTTTGGAGTCACAGAGCTTTAGATATTTTTTTACATGTGTCTGTGCAGTGCTGGGGACTGAACCTGGGACCTTCACACTGAGCTACATCCTCAGCCCTCTACTGTTTATTTTTGAGACACAGTCTTGTAAATCACTGAGTTGCCCAGGCTAGGTTTCAATGAGTGATTCTCCTGCCTCAGTCTTCCAGAGTTCTGGGGTTACGGGTGTGTGCCGCCATGTAAGTTTTAGAGTGCTTGGGTGCAGGGACTGTTCTTTTCAGCTGTAGGATTAGGAAGGTTTGCCTCACTGATATGAAGGAGTGTTTTCTCAGTGAAGTGCAGGTTTTCTTTGGGGTGAAACTTGGTTCCCACGAATAAGAGGCTTATTACCCTAGTAGGACGGAGCTGCTTTGCCTTCCTGGTTGGGGACACTTTTGGCAGTGGGCATGCGTAGGTCAAGCTCAGTGGCCTGTAATTAAATGCAGGTTTTCAGTTTTGTCTTCAGATCTTGGCAACAGGCACTCCATCAGTTCCCTTGTGCTTTTGTCTTTCTCTCACTAGGCTGATTTTGTGAAAATCGCACACCCGGAACGCGAGTTCAGAGAGGCTGCAGAAGAGGCCTGCAGGAGCATCGGCACCATGGTGGAGAAGTGCGTGCACCCCTGCGGCCTCGGCAGGGTGACTCTTCCTGGGCTTGGCTGCAGGGCAGGGCGGGCGGTGGCCTGTGCCGTGCCAGGGTGTATGGGAGGGGGAGGGCTCTGGGCACCTTCCTCTTTCCATCTCTTCCTTTCCCACTCTCCGCGCCTCTTGGGGTGCTGTGAGGATCGTATGAAGTAAGTGGCGTATGAAGTAAGTCTGGTCACTCAGGAGACTCCTCTGGTAGGTCACAGCGGGTGGAGGCTGTGTGGTATCCTGGTGGTGAGCTGGAGCTCTGGCTTTACGGCTATAATCCCCCACCTCCCCACTCCCACCCCCGAGGAGCTAAAGTGATGCGTCACCCAGCAGTGTCCTCAGGGCTCTGCCAAGGCAGAATTGAGGGACCCAGGAGGACTGTAAAACTCTGGGAGGCCGAGACAGACTGTAGGCAGAAGCTCTGATGATGTGAATTGTTTTAAAGTAATTTGGAGGTAAACTGGTACGTTTCTAAGTCATTTATGAGGCCTCCAAAGTGCTTGTTAAAATAACCACAGACAGTGCCATATTCCACTTGGGTGGCAACACCACACCAGAGGGCACGGGAATCAGGGGAGAGCCCGGGGTTGCCTGGCAGAATTTACAAGGGGAAATAGAGCCTAGGAAACATTGAGAGACTCTGTCCACAAACCGGAGGTTGGCGGGGAAGGAAGTGGCGTCTCCAGCCAGGCAGGGCTTTCTGGGAGACCAGCGTCACTCACCGAGGCTTGATACATGCAACTCTCACAGCCATTGAAAATCAGTTTGCTCAAGGGAGAAGGTCTCTGCCACACCAGACACTTGGACAAGCTGACAATGGGGGACAGCTGGAGAATGACCACTTCCTTTGGGGGGACCTAAGAAAGGAATCAGCATGGCTAGGCCCCACCTGGGCCCCTGAAAGCCATGTCCTGTGGGTTCTGCAGCAGCCTGGTCTACGGACGGGTGCTCTTGGTGTGTGGGGGATTCTTACCACATATTCATGGTACAAATCGGTGTCTTGTACATGACATTACTATCCTCACTAGCACTCTTGTCTTGTGGGAGGAAACAGTCACCATGGATGAAGTGGTGTTGCGTGTCTGTCTGCGGTCTTCCCCTCATTGGCCAATGTTTCTGTTGAAAGTCAGGTCTTAAAAGAACCTTCAGAGCCTTGCCTAGGGCTTTGCTTTCTCCAAACACTGTGCCGCAGTGATTTTTCCCTTCAGTGTAATTGTATTGTAATAACTTCTTCAGTCAGTGCTTGAAAAATGAGGGTTACTTCAGCTGATGTATGGTCTTGGTTTATTTTCTGGTAGAGGAAAAGCATTAAGGTTTGTGTGGTTTGTAATGAATGGCACATGCAGACTTTATCTTAGGAGCTCCTAGCATAAAACACAGTGTTGGATCTGTGCTTAAACTTGTCAAGGTGGCGCAGTCCTGTCCTTATAGCAAGTGGCCACGCAGGTGAGCAGGCCAGCAGGTGGGGACTCACGGTTTCCCCCGGCCCCTCTGAGCAGTACTCAGAGTATGTGATGAGAAGGTCTGCAAGCCCCTTCTGCTGAGTGTCTGCGCTGACAGTGACACCCTCTATTCCGCTGTGAGAAGACCCAGGAGAACGATGGCAAGAGGAGCCCCTTTAGTTTATATATTAAAAAGTGGCTCTTTGATTGTGAATTGACTGAGGAACGGGGCCATTCTGGAGGCCCTGAGTAGGAACTGGATGGTTTTTGTTACTGTGTCTCGCCCTGAGGGGCCCCCAGACAGAGGCAGGTTGTATCGAGTCCAGTCCTGAGTGTGCCAGGGCCTTGCGTCACTTGGGTCCTGACGGTACTGTGGATCGGGTTGAGACCTCTGCTTGGATGGTGGCCCCAGGCTCCCCCAGCCATGGCTCAGGGTAGCCAGCTGGACTGGCAGTGGTTCTTCGGGGTGAGGGTGGTGTACCATGGTGATCTTACTGCATCCTCATGGCTCCCTGAGGTCGAGACGCATTGCTCATAGTTGCAAGGCTGCAGCAGGGCCAGTCTCAAATCTGCACATGGCTCTGGAGCCTGTGTCCTGGGGGCTACCTCAGGTCACCACTCTCACCCTGATGGGCGCAGGGAGCCCAGGGCCTGGGTGCCAGTTTCAGGACTGGAAAAGCTTTGTGCATGCAGCCTCCCTCCCATCCTCACTTTTTCAAGGTGGCTGCCAGTGTTTGCCAAAGGGAACTGGTTGCCTGTCAGGTCACTGGTCACTGCATTCCGCCCTCCCTCTTTCCTTTGATGACCCCCAGTGTTTGGCCTCTGGGCATGTGCATGCTGCAGTCTGATACCATGTGTTTTATGTAGATCAAAAATAATGCATTAGAAAATAAATTTTTTTATTTGTAACTTTTCTAGGTTGAACACGAATGTGGAATTATACCAAAGTTTGCAGAGGTTACTAGCTGATAAAAAGCTTGTGGACTCCCTTGATGCCGAAACCAGGTACTGACTGCCTCCTTAGGGTTCACTACGCCTGCCCTGGGGTCTGATGGCACCTCCTCTGTACCTCTGCCCCTTCTCTGAGACCTCACTCAGATGTCTTTGCTTCACCCCAGGCTGGGCTCCTTGTCTTACTTTTTTTCTTCATAGCTGCAATCAGCTGCTAATTTGTGTTCATCTTTTTGCCTCCCTAACTGCCACCCCCAGAGTACCTACTGTGGGCGCTTAGCCAGCAGACAGCTTTGCACATCTGTGATCCCACTTAGCCTAAGGCTTAAGATTCTGAAGTCAGTGCTATCAGCAGATAGAAGCAAATTAATAAGCTTATTGGCTGAGTATCAAGGTGCTTGAAATGATTTGCTTTGTTCACTAGATTGTGTTTATTAATCTGATGTGAAAGGTTTGATTTCTAAGTCATTACATACTGGTAGCAATGTTTGATATCTGGTCTTGGCTACCTTTATGACTTTGCTCATATTTACTTATAAAATGAAAGTAATAATGTTTGTCCTTTACTAGCTCATGATATCTATGTCATACTTAGATTTTTTTCTTACCTGTTCATACCTGTGTATCTGCTTTTATGAAATACTTCCTTTGCTTAGTTCTCCACTTCTGTCTTTGTGTGTGGTTTGTGATCCCACCTGAAGACCCTTTCCATTGTTGGGCCTTACTTTCATCCAGCTGGTAGGCATGCGATTACCTGCTCTTGTTTCAGTTCATCCATCCTAATGCTCAGGGTACTGGGAAAGCTGGTGTGGTCATCAGAATAGTTGGTTTCATTATAACTTTAGGCTTGAGCATGATACTACCTTTATAAGCAAAGTGAGTAAAATAGGCCAGTCCTCTGCCTGCTTTGCAAGGGTTAAGGGTCAGCCTGTTTTCCTAGTACTCTAAATGTCTGTGAGATACCACCCAGCACCCCGCACCCTTACAGGACCTGCCAGAATCTCCCCATGTGAGTCCAGAGCACACCTGCATTTCTGCTGGGTAAGCTAAGGTGACATAAGCCTCCACCTGATGTCTGGAGCTGGTCCCATGGACACCAGAGCATATATCAGGCACCCGGCATTGGCCCCTAGGCAGCAGCAGGAATCCATACCAGGAGCCTCAGAATCTAGTGCTTCACACCTCTGCTGGGCTGGTGTGACAGCTGTGACAGTTCCCATAAACAGTGGTGCCCTCTGAGCTGCGAAATCTATACACAAACTTTCAGCCTATGCAGAGGGGCAAAGCAGAGTGTGACGTTTTAAGATTTCTGCAGACACTTGAAGAAAACCCTGGAATTACATGTCATTGTAATCTACATTGAAGACCCAAGGAACTCCACCAAAAAGGTCTTTAGCATCCTGCTTTAGCAACTTAGCAGGACATAAGATCCACAAAAAACATTAGTGTGCACCAGTAATAAATGGAATGAGAAGGAAATTATGAAAACAATACCATTCGCAGTAGCTTCAAGAAAAATAAAATGTCTAGGAATTAACGTAACCAAGGAAATGAAGGACCTCTACAAAGAAACTGCAGTACTCAGGAAAAGGAGATGGAACAGGAAATCGGAAAACGGAAAGGTATCTCCTGCTTCTGGAGAGACAGAACCCACATTCTCAAAATGCCTTAGTTTTGTCACTGCTGAGACAAAATACCTGACACTCAGCATTAAAGGAGGAATGGTTTATTTAGCTCACAGTTTGTAGAGGTTTCGGTCCGTGGTCATCTGGCTCCAAGGCAGGGGTCATAGCAGAGGGGCATCACAAAGGACAAAAAGAGCTCATGATGGGCAGAAGGCAGCAGAACAGTAAAGTAGCAAAGTGACAGGTAACACTAGCTGCTTTCTTTTCTTTACATTCTCTCCAAGCTACCTGCCATAGGGTGGGTAGCACTCATACCCAGGGTTGGGCACCCATAATCCTAGCACTACGCCATGAATCAGTTGCAACATCGCATCCTGAATCCCAGCATCACACACTGTGGATCCAGCCACCTCCAAAAGGCTCTACCTGTGACTACATGAGGCTTTGGGAGGACATCTAGGCAAAAGCCATAACATTGGGCATACTCCCAAAACTGTTATATAGATGCATTGCAGTCCCAGTCCAACTGCCAGCAGCATACTTTACAGATCTAGAGAAAACAATCCTAATATCAGTATGGAACCAGAAGAGACCCAGAGTAGCAAAAATAATTTTGAGTAACAGGAGCAAAGCAGGAGGCGGAGCACTGCCTGACTCAAAGCTGTGCTGTAGAACAGTAGTGGTAACGGCAGGGTACTGGAATAAAAGTATACAGGGAACTACAGAATTCAGAAACTTCCCCAGATACATTCAACTGGTTTATCTTCGACAAAGGGTCCAGAAGCATATGTTAGAGGAAAGATAGTCCGTTTGACAAGTAGTGCTTGGAAAATTGGATATCTGTTTGCTGAAGATTGAAACCGTACCCTTATCTCTCCCCATTCACTAACTTAAAATGGATAAAAGATAGCAACATTAAAACAGAAGCATTAAACTTACTGGAAGATAAGATTGGTAAAACTTTTCACATAGGTGTAGGAAATGATTTTTTAAACAGAAGCTAGATTGCAAGAAATAACAGCAAAAATTTTAAAAACATGGGATTATTTTAGACTACCAAGCTCTTGTACAGCAAAAGAATCAGTTAATATAACGAAGAGACAGCCAACAGAATGGGAAAATTTTTTTGCCAGCTATTCCTCAGAGGACTAATGTCTAGACCATACAATATAAAGAATTCAAAGAAATGTGACCACATAAAATTTAAGACTCAGTCAAGAAACAGTCAAATGAAATGAACAGATACATCACATAGGAAGAGGTACAGGTGTCACCAAATACCTAAAAAAATGAGTAGTGGCTCAGGCCTTTAGAGAAGTGCAAGTTAAAACAACGCTGAGATTCTGTGTCACTCCAGAAACAATGGCAGTCATCAGAAAATAGCAAATGCTGCTGTGACAGAGGTGAAAAAGAATCCTTCTGCACTGATGGGTATGCAAATTAGTGCAACCATTACGGAAATCAGTATGGAGATCTCTGAGAGAACTGAAATAGACATTCTGTGTGACTCAACCCTCTCCTTGGCTAAGCGTCTTCCCCAGAGAGCTTAAGACATGCTACCGTGATACATGCATACCAGTGTTCTAGCAGCGCAGTTCGAACACCTACATCCTGCAAGCAGCCAGTCTACCAGCCAGCAGAGGACTGGATGAAGCAGTTGTGGTGTCTGTGTGTAACAATACTGCTGAGTTTAAAGAAGGGAAGATTTGAAACATTTGTGGGGAAATTTGAAACATTTGTAGGAAGATGGGTGCACTTAGAAAATACCATGTTGAGTGAAATAACTGATACACACAAGCTTGAGTATCATGTATCATTTGAGTAAGGCACAGTGCAAACTAAGGGAAAAATCCAGGAAGGAGAGAAGGAGGCAGGGGGATGGATCTCGTGCAGATTGTGAGGGAGAGGGGTGGGGAAATAGGCAAAGGTGTGCCAGGTACAAGGCCCTAACAGCCTCAGTGAACATGAACATGAACTGAGATTAATAAACCATAAACACGAACTGAGATTAATAATATTAGTAAGAATGAAAAGGGGGAAGGGGAATCAGAGGAGAATGGAGAGAAGAGAAGGCAAGAGATTAAAAAGAGCTGTATCGTGTACATGTACCAACTCCCCGAGATGATTGTAAAATGCATGCACTGCAAACATATACTGACAACATTTTAAACCTAAGATTATTAATGTTCCAGTTGGCACTTCCATGTTTAACATATAAGACTTGCAGTGTGCTAATAGATGATTTAGACACAAAGGACTCATACCAAAAGGATACATTCCACAATTGCAGGTGCTGCTAAAAAGGCTGATCAGAGCTTCTGAATAACAGATAGATGCAATGGGAATAAGAAGACAGGTGAATATGAGTAGGCTAGAAGAGGGAAGCTTTATGTGTGGCAGCTCTACATTGGAGTTAGAAGGAATAACTGAAATATCACTGCGCTCACGGACTGGTTGGCACCTCCAGCAGACCTCCTGTCTTAGAGCCTTGCCGCTGGAGTAGCCTGAGACAGGGTTAAGACAGAGACCCTAAGTAAAGTCTCTTGTCATGACAAGTTAGCGTACAGAGGAAGCGATCTGAATGAACTCACTCTGTTTAGATTCTTTCCTCGAAACACTAGTTCTGTTGAGATACACAGACATATTCTCAGAGCAGTCCCGTTTGTCCGTAAGATTGGAGATCTGCCATGTTAATATTTCTTCCCCCCTTGCAGAATCTCACTTATGGTTTAACTTAGAGTTTTTAAGAAGCTCAGCCATAAAGAAAGTTGTTTAACTGTGGTTTCCCCAAATTATATATTCTCTATGCAAAAGTATAGCAGCATGCTCTGTAGGCAGTGTAATAGAGGGGAAACCCTAGTCAAAAAAGCAACAGAAGGCATACTGTGCCTTGGAATACACTGGAAGACAGAGTGCACACGTACCCAAGTGCATGTGTGTGTGCACACCCCAGGTAATTTGGAAAGGGGCGAGAATACAGAAACTGCTGAGCTCTGTTCTTAGCTAAGAGTGAAGCAAGCTCAGTGGTGCTCTCTAGTGGCCTGTATCTTTACTGCTGCCAGTATATTTGTAAAAATGTTGTTGCTACTTCAAATGATTTTGAAGTTATGTAGAAAAATATGCTAGAATAGGTGGGAAAAATCTGGTAGAGTAACCCGAAGGGATTTGTACCAAATATTAAAACATACTATAAAAACACTGTATTGAGAAAGCATCATGCTTAGGCTGAAACAGGTAATTAATCTGTGAAAGAATGAAGGGTTTTAGCCAGCCCAGATCCACGTTAGCTTGTATTTAGTATTTGATAGGAATGTCCTTTCACGTCAGCAGGGGAAGATCCTCTTCAGTAAGTAGTATTAGGCCAGTGGATAAGTGGGGTTTTTTGGTAAAGTAAATATTTTTAAAAAATAAATTGTAAAAGTATTGATAATCTTGGGATATGGAATCTTTCTTGGCATGATACCAAAAAGAAAAGGTTGGCTGATTTGATTACCTGAAAACACTAGATCAGTATACATAAATGAGACAATTGTCATTTACGTGACAGGATTAATCTCTTATGTGAAGAGTCTTCACAAACTATTTGGAGAAAAACAAGAGACAGTGAACCCTTCATAGAAAAATGAGCATAGGAGTCTTTCTGTGAGATTCTTAATTTACAGAATAAGGAATAAACAGCAGATGCCCACTGGCCTCACAGAGGAGTTTCAGCTGGGCCTAGAATTAGACTCTTAGGGTCCGCACTGGTCCTGGCCTCTGTCTTCTTGTAAAAAAGAATGAGAAAGCATTTCACAGGACCCCGAAGAGGCTTAAGTGAAATAATTCCTGTGAAGCACCTGCAGCCCTCAAAGTGGGACCCGTCACTGCTAAAGGGCAGAATAGCACGAGCAGAGAGCCCATCAGTCAACAAATTTAAACCGAAAAGAAAAATACAGTGATGGTTTTGGCTTGGATAAAGGGTCATTCTGGTTTAAATGGATGTCTTCAGGGAACACAGTTTTATAATTCAGTATCAGGGTGCATACTTTCTGATGACTTTAAGTTCTTGGAATTTATCCTAAGGGAAACAAACAAGAATGGAGATTTTCACGGGTTTTGTTATTTTAAATATTATTTTAAATCATAGCATGGTGTGTGGGCAAAAGGGAGACATCTGTAGTTCATGTTGCAGAAGGCAGTAAAGACAATAATTAAGTCATGTTTTTGAAGGATATTTAAAAATAGGGAGGCATGATTCATGTTTATGTTATAATTTTATAAGAAAAAGCCAAATATTAACATAAGAACTTAAGTTCCATTTTTTAAAATAAATAGTATAACATACTGAAAGGGAATACCATAATTTTCATGGTAGTTGTCTTTGGTGAGATGGGTCATTTTTTCTAGCGTTTCTGTAGTAAAGGGTGTTGTAATAAACCTATATGGTAGCATACAGCAAACCTACACGGTAAATTTCCATCCCAAGCTTATCAGCCCTTGCTAGGTTTCATTTATTTTATTGAGACAACTGGAAAATACTTTTACTTAAAAAGCCAGGGCTGCTTTGCAACCTATTATTTAGAAAGACAGGAGTGAGGAGAGGGGAATGGGCTGGTTTGGTATGAGGGATGTATTTCATGTTGTGTAAGGAAGAACGTGAATGGTTACATTATTAATGTGGCCTTGGCATTTTCAGAATTTTAGAAGAACTCTTAATTGTGTTTGTTCAGGATGTCTGCCACAATAATCAAAAATATAAATATATCCATTTTGAAAAGTCAGAACCAGAAGAGTACATCAAGTATTTGGGCAGCCTACCTCCACATAAAAAGCAGTTAAAACTGTATTGTGCCTGAAAAAGGTGTTACCCTTGAAACTGGTTCCAAGAATGAAGCAGGATTAAAAGGAAAGAAAACAATCTCCTTAGGCAAGAAATTCACCTTCCAGCACAGCGTCAAAGAGCCGAGTACTCCAAGGAGCTGCTGCTGGTTGGAAGAGGAACTAAAAATCTGCAAAGGGGGCTTTGAAACATCACCCAAGGAGGAACTGTTTAATGTTTTTAATGGTTGGGATTTGGATGGAGTGGAAATAAGTGGTTGCGGAGATGACTTCGCACAGGTTTGTACTTTGTGGGTACGGGAATGGGTGCCCACGTGACCCATGCCTCGTGTCGCTGGACAGTTCGCCTGCCTTCTGCCAGAGCTCCCTGTGTCGAATGCACATGTTGAGGGTGTGGACTTGGTGTGTGTGTCCCAACAGCTTAGAGGACTGACGCCATGACAGCAACAACCCAAACCCTGATTTTTGTCGGTGATTTTTATTACCTGTCATAACCCGGTGCTCGTTTGATTTTAGGCGTGTGGCTGAGCTGTTCATGTTCGATTTTGAAATCAGTGGAATCCATCTAGATGAAGAGAAGGTAAATCTCCCTTCTTGTCTTTGCTGACTCGAGACAGTTGGGACATTTTAGATATCATGGAATTGAGATGAGGCAGGCGATGGATAGGCCAGTGAGGAGGATGCTGTGCCACTGACGGTGGAGAGCACGGGGCAGTGCGAGGACCTGTGCATGGGTTTGCTCACCTGAGACAGGCCTGGGCAGTTCTGCTGTGGTCAGCTAACGTGGGTACTGGCAGCCCGACTGTCCAGGCCCCTGTGGTTCAGATGTGGCAGGAACAAGGCAGCGTAGCTTGGTCAGCTGCTCCCCTTATCCCAGGACTTCAAGGCCAGTGTTTTCCATAGAAAACAACATGGCAAAAAGCCAAGTGCCACCTGCCCATAGTCAGCTCGGGTGGAGAAGTGGGGTACACTGCTGGGTCTGCTGCTCTTGGGGTTCCCCATGCTCTGACATCCTGCCTGCTAAGGTTAAACCCTCCCTCTTTGAGGGAACTCTTGAAGGTTTGCAGCCAGGCTCTTATGATTTCTGCACCTACATCCAAACCATCGTGATAGAAAACACTCAGAAGGAAATTGTGTCTGCTGGGAGACTGAGGCAGCAGAATTGCTCTGAACTTGTGGCCAGCATGGACTACCAAGTGAGTTCAAGGCCAGCCTGACCCACATAGTGAAACCCTGCTCAAAAAAGGGAAGAAAAGAGAAAAGGAATTGCATCTGTACCGAATGTGCACAGACTTTTTCCTTGTCATTGTACCTTAAACAATACAGAATAATTGTTTACATGATGCTCATGTATTATTAGTGATGATAGTAGTCTACATTTAAAATTTGTATTTTAATTAGTACATTTGCAGTACATAGTGATCATTCTGAGGACTGGGTACAGGTGCATATGCATCTTATTTTCTTCGATGTCCCCTTCTGTCCTCCCTCTCCTGGGTATTAAGAGTTACCTGGAGATTGATTTAAAGCCTGTGGCAAGATGGTACCCGAGTTCTGTGCAAACGTAGTTCCATTTTCCTAAGGGACTTATCGTCAGTGGATTTTGTGTTAGTGGGGGAAAGCAAGCCTTGGAGCCAGTCCCTGGGGGGCGATTGTGCATCGTATCCATGCATAGTGTCATTTTGATTGGTGCTGGTTTGGAGTAACAGTGAATCTGCTCACAGACCTGACATTCGTGTGTGGTGTTAAGGTCAGCAGATGGCCTCTGCTGTCACCTGAGCCTGCCTTCTTTTCGGGCCCAAAGCTCATGGGCTTCGCTGTAAACTCACATTGCCTGAAAAAACCGCTCTTGTCCTTCTCCAGACCAGTTCTTTATTAGCAGTCTTGCATCCCAGCAATGTGTACCACTATTCAGAGTCATGCAAAAGAAGCTTTTGTTACCTGGCATGCTGGTGCCAGCCTGTAATCCTAGCCCTTGGGAGGCGGAGGCAGGAGGGTCATCACAAGTTGGAGGCCAGTCTGTTGTATACAATCAGACTGTCAAAAAGGGGAAACTTTGGGAGTCGGCTTGCCTTTTGGTCTTAACCAGGAGTCTCCTGTCTTGGATTGTTCTTTGTGAAAACAGTTGGCCTGGACCAGAAGTCCTGGTCTCCCACCCTCATTCTAGTGCATTATCTGGGCACTGCTGCAGCAAAGCACACATCTCATCCTGTCTTGATGACAGTGTTGAGGTGGCCCTGTTCCTTGTGACGGAGGAACACGCCGGGGAACCTGGAAGAGGTCAGGTGACCGAGCCAGAGCCCCGCAGCTGCTGTCGTGAGCATGGGATTTGGTTTTTTTAAAGCATTGGTTTCCTTGTTCCGCTCTTGGCCAGGAGCTTCCAGTCACTTTCCTTTGTCCAGGGACATTGACAGGTGGCACGGACATCGGTGCGCCTGCCCTGCTTCAGCCTGCCTCCAGGTTTGCCTGGTTGAAATCCCCACAAGGCTCCATCTTCAGGCCTTGTGGTCTGTGAAGCTGTTATCAGTTCCATAGGTAGAATTTTGTATTTACCCGAGCTCACCTTCTAACTTTTCCCCCTCACGTGGCATTTATCTTTAACTGCCTTTATTTGGAAATCGTCACTGTTGCTTTTATTGCATTGCTTGTCTAAATTACAGGCTCAGCGAGGACTGAGATGGCTCCTGTTTTTAATGCTTGCATCCATCTCACCCTAACGCTAACCCTAAGTGAAGTTCTGGCTAGATGATTCACCGTCCTGATGCTAGCCAGCGGTCACTGAGCTTGGTATCTTCAGAAGAATCGTTGCTAACAGAGCTTTCTGTGGAGTGTTTTAATGTCTGATATTGTCTCGGTTACTTTTTTGTCATTGCTGAGACAAAATACTCGACACCCAAAGTCATAAGGGGAAAAAGGGTTATTTAGCTCACAGTTTGTGGAGGCTTCAGTCCATAATCAGCTGGCTCCAAGGCTGGTGTGGCAGAGGGCAATGCAAACAGCAAAAGCAAGAAGAGCAAGAAGGGAGGAACCGAGAGAAGACTTCTGTCCCTTACATTGTGTGTGGGCTACCTACACTTGGGCGGGCGTAGCACTTACACTCATAATCCCAGCACTAGACACTAAATCATAAGCTGTAGATTCAGCCACCTTAAAAAAGCACCTCCCCCCCCATTATTACATGAGGCTTTGTGGGGCATCAGACACAAACCATGACGGATACCGTCAGCAAAGATGATTCTGAAACTGCTGACATCCTGTGCTTGTTCACTTTCACCAGCATATGCTTGATGCTTTTATCTGACATGTGACCTTATGGTATAGATGTTCCTATACCATAACTCCCTGAAGAGCCCTTGCATTAAAGATGCAAGAAAAGTAAATGTCAGTTCTCTCAGAATTCCTGTTTTCAGAGATGCCCCACCAGCACAGGGTATGAGGAGATCACATATTTTAGAAAAGAGATCAGGAAGTAAACAGGGAAATGTACAGATCACAAGGTCCTTTGTTCTCCCCAGGTTTGTTCTCTTTTTGTTTTTAGATAGGTCTTGATGTTTTAGATTAGTAGACAGCCTGGCTCGGAGCTTCTGAACTAAACCACCTCCTGCCTCAGTCTCCTGGCAGCTGGATTATATAGGTGTGCCCTCTGTACCTGACAGTTTTAATTTTTAAGATCTCCCGAATATAATTTAAAAGTTTAAAATGCTTAGAAATGTATTTTAGTGATTATTTAATGAATAACAGTTTCAACCAGGTGTGGTGGCACACACCTGTAATCCCAGTATGTGAGAGACAGGCAGGAGGATTGCCTTGAGTTCAAGGCCAACCTGGGCAACAGTGAGTTCAAAGTTAGCCTGAACTACATAGTGAGACCCTGTCTCAAACAAACAAACAAACAAACAAACAAACAAACAAACAAACAAACAAAAAACCCAAAAAGCTAAATTCATTGGATTTTCAGCGAGTTTAGGATATTGCATGTTGAATACTTGAGTGGTACATGGTATGCTTAGCAGATCACTGCAGTCAGAAAGTGATCTCAGTTTTTATTTTTCCAGGGATTATCAGGTGATAAAATGTTTAGAGTTATTAATCTTATCACATTAAAATTTTTTAATAAAAGCCTAGAGGAATAATTTGTTTTAGAATTGTGATTTTTATCTTTTCTGTTATTCCACTACCTACCACTAGGTGGTGATATAAAACTGAACCACAGCAAAGAGTCAGCGAAATCTGGGCCTGGGAGACCTTGGAGTCTTGGGAAACTTACTTTTCCCATGAAGTTTGGATTTTCTGCATTAAAACTTGGGACTAGTTTTATATACAGAAGTTGTCTGGCTTCTTACGGAGCTCACATCTGCAGCTTACGTGTTTATCTTGGGAGGAACTGGAACTGTTTGAAGGCAGAGCATGGAGCAGCTACTGGAAGCTTCGTGAGGCCAGCAGCCTGGAGAGGGGCCGTCAGGCGACCTCCAGCAGGTCGACCTGGAGATTGCTTACACTCCATAGTGAAGTACTGGCCACGATGACTCCTCAGTGACACATTTGCCCAAGAGGTTGTGTGATAACTGCCGAGGCAGTGGGGGTCATAGGTTTGAGCCCAGCCTGGGCGGCGTAGACTCAGTGAGACCTTGTGTCCAGAGCTCAAAAATAAAAAATGAAGCCAAGAATCAAAGGACTAGGAACGTAGCCTGGGTTCATTCCTCAGGATATAAAAAAAAAAAAGTTAAAATAGGAAAGAAAATGGTGAGCTGGGCATGGTGGTACACTCTTACTATCCCAGCACTCTGGGAAGCTGAGGCAGGAGGGTCTCAAGTTGAGAGCCATCCCAGGCAGGTTAGTGACTCACCAAGATACTGTCTCAAAAAACAGGACTGAGAGTGTAGCCCCGTGCGGGCTGCCCCGTGGCTTTCACTGCCCCGCGCAGGGTGAGTTGCTTGTTTCCGTGTTCCTCTGCCCTGAATCTTTTGAGAGTCCCTGTTTTCTAGTCTGCCTTTCAAATGCTTCATACTGATTCATCTAAAGGTACTTTGTGAGCTCCACCTGGAACATTCTAAATGAGCCCACTAGTCTTTTTTCAAATCTTTTTCATTGGTACATTGTAGATATGCACAGTGATGGCAATCATAATGGAGCATTTGTACCTGTGCGTGATGCAACTGGTTTGTCTTTCTCATTCTCCTCCCTTCCCTTCAATGCTTCCCTCCCTATTGACAAAAGCTTTGTTTCCATTTTTTCTTCTCATTTTTTTTTTTTTTACTTTTCCCTCCTTTCCCCCATCGCTAGTTCCCCTTCCCATTTGAATATTTTCTTATTTTTCAATGTCTTATATGTTTTGATTCTTATATATTGGGGTCTATACCTATACTCCTAGCCCTCCAAACAAGTACATGGTGAAGGCTCAAAGGAATGAGACAAGTGGTGTGATCTTTAGGGCTGCAGGAGGAGCAGAATCCTCGGCAGAGCTTGTAACTCTGCAGCCGGCCGGCCGACTCACCATATGTAATCAGAATAAGCAAGGAGCTGAGTGGACAATGGAGGAAACCTGAGCAGGACCTTGGGCAGGGTTCAAGGATTCCTCAGAGCAACAGATGATGCTAATTAAGGAAAACTACCCAGAAGGCCTCCAGATGGCCTCAGCTGTGGCCTGTCTTGCCCCCTGAGGCTTCTCCTCGTTCTCAGTTCAGTCATGCCCAGGCCACGCCAGGGCCCTACATGTGTATTCAGCTTCAACGCTCTCCAGCACTTATATGTACCCTGATTTCTCATGCCCGAGAAACCACGTAGTATTTACACGTGTGTCTGGTGTATTTCACTTAAGAGTATAGTCCCAAGGTGCACTTGTTTACCTAGAAGTGTCGAGCTTATGCTTCTTTATGGCTGAGTAGTGCTCCACTGTATAAAAATCATGTCTTCTTTACCCAGTCACTGGTCAATAGGCATTTTGGCTGTTTTCAAGATTTAGCTATTATGAACTGGGTCACTGTAAATAGTTGGTAAATATTGCTGTGCTGTGATGCTTTTAATTCCTTTCAGAGCTGCCAAGGAGAGGAAGAGCTGGGTCAAATAGGACCCCTAGTCCTGCCTTTTTGAGGGTTCTGCATGCTCTAGTGTCTGACTTTCTTTTCTTAATGCAGGGTTTTCTCAGGGTGATGGAGGAGGGTTCAGTACTTTATCATGCTGCTTATTTCAAAGATCAGTTTCATAATCTAGACATTCAGTAGAATTCTACAAGTTGTGTAAATATTAACAGATGCATTATGAAATCACGAAGGTAAGTTTTTTGTTGGAATAATAGTATGTATCAGTTCTCAATGTCAGAATCAGCTACACATGGATAGTAACCAGGGCCTTTGCACTGGGCTGACTCCCCAGCCCTTATTAAAGACAGGCTGTCTCTAAATTTTCCAGGCTGGGCTTAAACTTCTGATCTTCCTGCCTCAGCTCCCAAGTATGCCACTATGCCCTGCTCAGTCATCTGTGACGTTAATTATGAAATCTCAACTTGAAATGTCTTCAAATCACTTTATTCTTCCCTCATGTAGCGTAAAAGAGCAGTGGACCTTAATGTTAAGATCTTGGATTTGAGCAGTCAGTTTCTTATGGGAACCAACTTCCCCATCAAGATTGAAAAGCGTCTCTTGCCCGAGCACATCCACCATCACTTTGTGCGCAATGGAAACCACATAGTTGTCGATGGTCTGCACGCAGAAGCCCCGGATGATCTGGTAAGTGGCTCCCATTCTCTCTATGGTTTAGGTGTTTGGACCCAAAGTCCAGTGGTTACATAATCACATCCTTAAAAATCTTCTAACACAGGGCTGGGGAATTAGCTCAGTGGAGTAAGTGCCTGCCTGGCAAGCACAAGGTCATGAGTTCAGCCCCCAGTTCCCCCCAAATCTTCTAACAGTTTTACTTCGCTCTAAAAATCTAACTTTTGTGATTAATTCCATAGATGCTCTGAAGAATGAAATGGCTTAATTATTAATGTCTGAAATACAGTTATGACTGATCTTATAGACTATTGAGGTTTTTGATGCATAAAATCCTTTTTGACTCAGTTAAGATCCTCTATGCTATGGAGACATTGGGTCAAATTTCATCCCCCAACCCTGGAATACTCGGGTTACAATCAGGGGTGCTGTGGGATCCTCCCAGAGGTGACTTGTAAAGATCTATTCACTGTCTGTAAACTTTGCTCTATTTTGAAAGTGATGATTGCCAATAAAATTATGAGCATTGAACCTATATTGCTGCACAGGACTTTGTGTCATGGTATTTGTATATTTTATTTTTAAAATACAGGTTCGAGAAGCTGCTTATAAAATTTTTCTTTACCCCGATGCTGGTCAACTAAAATGTTTAGAGGAACTGCTCCGGAACAGAGATCTTCTAGCGAAGTTGGTGGGGTATTCTACATTTTCCCACAGGGCCCTCCAAGGAACGATAGCTCAGAACCCAGGTATGCCCACCTTTTAAAACAAAATCGGGTTTTGTTTTGTCTTGTCTGTCTGTCTGTGTGTCTTTCCTGCTTGCTTTTTTGTGGTAGTCCAGGGCCTGCACACTGTTACACTAGGCTACATTCACAGCCTTTGTCATTTTTAAGATGGGATCTCTCTCAATCACTAATGTGCCATCCTCCTGTCTTCCAGGAGTGCTGGAATTACAAATGTGTGCTACCTTGACCACCTTCAAAATACAGTTTTTATGAAACTGAACTTCTGAGATATATGTACATTTTGTTGTTGTTGTTCTGAGGATTGAATCCAGGGCCTCCCTGAGGGTAGGAAACACCACTGTATTTCACTGACCCACACCCCTAGCTCAGAACTTCTGATTTAAACAGTATAAATGAGTGTTTTGTTTTTGCTACACTCAGAGAAAGATTTATGGAGATCAGTGACAACTTCTGATAGGAATGATCTTTAGAACTAATAATTTGGCATGTATTTTGTCTAGTCAAACTACTTTTTTCATGTATATATTGAGAGTAAGTCACATCCAGTTTTTATTCAATATGGTTTGAATTATTTTTGTTCTAACTCAACTAGTTTGTGTAGTCTAATCAGTTGATTAGAATCAGAACGGGAGAAAGAAAGAACAGTATTTGTATGGAGGCAAACGTTGAATGTAGACTAGATTATGGAAAAACACAGTCCTAGTCCAATGTGTTGTGCCTACCTGTAATTCCAGCACCCTAGGAGGCTGAGGCAGGAAGGTACCAAATTCCAGCCCCACCTGAGTAATTTAGTGGCTGAGTGAGCTCTGTATCAAGAAATAAAAAGGCTTGGCGGTGTAGCTCAGTGTGAAGACCCAGCATTTAACCTGCAGTATCACAGAAAACCAAAACAAACCACATATTCTTAAAAACATCCCTTTTAAACCTGGCCTGGCAGTGCGTGCCTGTGATCCCAGCACTTGGAAGGCTGAGGCAGGAGGATTGCCAGGAGTTAGGATAGCCTGGTCTTGCAGAGAGACACCTGTAGCAGCATGGATAGATGTGTGCTCATTAGGGTGGGGAAAAGTGTCTTCCCTTGGTTTGCAGTAAACTTGCCTGTGCTGTGTTGAGCTCTTTATGATTCACACTGTGAAAGAGGAAATGTTACACAGAAATACTTGCTAGTTTTTCAAAGACATTTAGAGATCATTTATATTTAGGTTGTGAGTCGGGATTAAGGTGGCAGTGATGGTGGACCTGTGCGGGTCCAGAATGTATTTTGGAGGCTGCAGTTGCAAAACTCAGTGCTGTGGAGAGCCAGCAGACCCCTGCAGGTAGTCTCTGGGCACCGCTGGGTAGAGATGCCTGGCCGCTTCTCTTACCACACAGGGCCGCTTCTCCTTTTGAGCTGTCCCCTTCCAGGCTCTCAGTGCTCGGCTCCTGATGCCCACTGCATCGTTCTCTCTGCCTGGACCCCCTGCTTCTTGAACCCTTAAATCCCTTAAGGTTTGTTTCTTATAATTTAGTTCCTAAATCGTTATGTGTGTGTAGCTGAATACCCATGGTTGCTGTTACCTCCAATTTGATTGTATTTTTATTTTCTATTATTATACAAAACAATATTGGGATGTTACTCAGTACTTTATTTTTTCTTTAAATGTTTTATTTTTATTAATCCATGTTTCCAGTACATAATGATAACATTTGTTGTTACTACAACAAATAGAGAATTGGTACGTGCGCTTAACACATCTCAGTTCTTCTCTTCCCCTCCACCCTGCCTTTTCATTGCCAGCATCTGATTCATTGACGTGTCTGTGAGTCCTTATGAAGCTCAGTATCATAGATCAACAGGCCAGAAAACACCTTGTCTGTGCTGAATTACAGTCCCTTTCTTCTCTCTGTTTTTTCTCACTGTCTTTTAGTTTGCACTTGATTTGTACATTGAGTTTCCGTGTAAGAGAAGGCATGCAGTGTTTGTATGCTTGGTGTGTCACACAGCATCACGGGTTCCAGCCGCACCTGTTTTCTGTAGCTGACTCAGCTCCATCCCTTCTCTTCCTCGATCTCTGGCCTTGTGAATCGGCGTTGGTGGCTGTATTTCCATTTGTTGATTTAAGGAGTTTTTACTGTGTGTCTCCTGTGTGTCAGGTGTCACTGTAGACACTGGAAATAAAGAAGGAAGTTAGGAGATCCTGCTTTAGACAGTTGGCATTCTTGGGGACACATTAAGAATGAAACACGTTGGCCAAGAGCACGGTGTGTTGTTGCTGTGAGCCGTGGGGGTGTGGCACTGGGAAGGGACAGGGATCAGGACCGGAATAAGGGTCGCTGTGGCGTGTGGACGTCTAGACAGCGTCAGGGCGTGGTGTGTGAGCGTGGCTGGTGGAGGTGCAGGACTGAGTGTGCGCCCTCTGGGGAGGAGGCTCCAGGCAGAGGCACAAGCAGGTGCACAGATTAGAGACGGAAGGTTGCCTGCCTGTGAGGTAGATCAAGACACAGTGAACAGTGAAAGGAAAAAAGTACTTGCTACGTGAAAGACACATGCCATTAATATCTCCAAATGCTCCTCCTCGCTCGGGGCACACTTACCCCGTCCTTGTGGCCCTCTGAACGGTCCTGGAGGTCCTGTTCTGTGAGTGCCTTCACTTGTGTGTTGTAGCTGCCTTGATGTCCCCACTTGCGGTGTCTGTTTGGTAAATCAGGTGGATGTGGACGCAGCAATGCTTTTACATGACAGGAGGTGACTACCAAAAGCAAGGCGTGAGATTGAGATTTTGACCTAAGCACCAAGAGACCCAAGTTTACTGTTAGCTAAGCTGGGGAGGAGCAGGAGCTTAGGTGGGTTCAGGTGAGTTTGAGATTCCGCCTGCATTGACAGTGTCCTAAGTGGGGTGTGTGAGACCGTAAGACCACCGGGGACAGTTTCCAGAACGGAGCCCTGGAGCCCTGGAGCCCTGGAGCCCTGTGAGATGGAGCTGAGGTTGTGGCGGGAAGAGCATGGCTGCTGGGAGGTGAAGGGCAGGGACAGAGGAGCAGTGCTTGTGCCCTGGGGGAGCCACACCACAGAAATGCTGTGTGAGCAGGACAGGGCTGCTGCGGGCGGGCTCAGGAGTGTGGGGGGAGCCCGGCAGAGCAGTGGAGGTGACACCAGACACCACTCCAGCGGGCCGCCTGCCCACCAAGGCCACTGCTGCAGCTGGCAGCCCAACACACAGAGTGTGTGTTTTCCGCGTGCAGTGCCTCACAGCACTCAGCGCAGCCCCAGTGCCCGTCTGCGGACTTGGGCCCAGGCTCCCGAGTGGGCAGCCGCAAGAGACGCCGGGCTTCCTGGTTTTGGTAACCTCTGCTCTCCCGTAGCCTGTATTTCACTCCGAAAGGAGGTAACTTAAATTGAAGAGAGGGCAAGAAACTTAAAACCGTAGAAAAGGTCATCTGGAAACTATAAAAGCAATGTTTGTGGCAAACTTAAAATACATGAAAGCTCGATCCGGTACACGCAAGTCAGTGGCAGACAGCGCGAAATGAAAAACAGCACAGAGTGTTTCGTTTCATGGAAAATAATGCTAATTCTGCCACATTGCTTTTATTGGTTTATAAATTACAGTGGCTGTAGCTGAAATATTTTAGTGAGCAGTTAAAAATTCTCTTAGAACTTCGTGTTTCTAATGTTCTGACTTTGCTCTATTTTCTTTTAGTTTTGATCCTGAGTAGATGATTCTGCAGTTGAATATAAACATAAAAATGGTTACCTGGAAATACATTGATTTTTAAAATTTAGTTTTCAGTAAATCATACTTCTTAACTATTCTTATGAACAAACCTGAGTCTGGCTGTCTCTTTAAAACTTAGACAAAACAGACATGTTCAAGCAACTCGCTTTTCTCTCTTGCACACATGAAGAGAAGGAAATACATTGAAATTTTTGGGTTTTCCTTTTAGCTTTTTACAATACTTTTAATTTTGGGGTATAATCTAAAGCTTTGGAGTATTGCTATGCCAGTGTATTTTTCTGATTAAGAGATAGTTATCATCTAGAAATACGTTATATGCCTATCATGTTAACAGCCCTGCGTCTCTTTGAAAATATTACTTTTAGGGAGTTGTGTCAATTATACTCATTATGTTTCTAACAGATTTTATTCAGTTTATTTCATGTAATTGAAGCATTGTTTGAATTTCATTTTTAGAGACTGTCATGCTGTTCCTTGAGAAACTATCTGAGAAACTTTCTGAAAGGTTAGTTTCCGCGCTGCTCTTTATTGCTTAGTTGTGTGTCTGTCTGTTGAAAATAACTTGACTTAGGAGGTAGCCCGTGAAAGTTGTGAGTCGGATGTTAGATCTGGGGTGGCCAGGTTGTCTAGTAACATTGCCCCAGACATGCCTTGGGAGGGTTGTGGGGAGTTTGTTTCGTCCCATGGCGCGCTTGAAAGTTTAGGCAGTCCTGCCACAAACCCCGTGTTTCTACCAGGCCACCCTTTGCATGGCTTTAAAAATGTTTGCAAGACTTTCTCAAAACTATCTCAGCTGGTAGCGTACATTTCACGACATGTTTTATGAAGTAGTGTTTCTCTTCTTTTAGGCCAGGTGCAGGAAACTTGTGGATGTGGCGTGAATCTGTTTGGGTTTTGTGTGTTTAAGGCCACTTGCCTCAGCCCTGTAACTCTCAGTGAAGGTGTTCTGGTCTGCGGACCCTTTGCACCGCTGTCTCTCCTGAGGTCCCGTTCCCATGCGCCTGCCTAGCATTCAGTCCTCGTGGAGGGTGGCACACGGCCGTGCATGGGCTCCCAGGGCTGTAGGGAGGAGCAGGCTAGGATCTGCAAAAGAAGGCCGTATTGTCTGTTTCCTAAAATGCTGTGTAAAATTTGCCTTTTTTGAACTATACCAACACGTTCAATTGTAGCTCAGCTTCCTCTTTTGGATTATAAAATCTTGTCTTGAAACCCATTCCTTTCTAATTGGAAAAAACGTTTATCACTGCGGAAATCTTTAGTTTTTTGATCCCAGTGGACCAGTGCACCTTTGATATGAAGGGGGAATGCGAGTTATGCATTTACTTAAGAGTTTACTGTACTTTGTTAAATTTTAGTATTCTTTATCCACTTGTAGGTAGCTACAGATTTTATTTTCAGCAAACATATCTTCATTGCTGTACAGTTTTATCTAGGAATTAATTCTAACATAGACTTCGTATCTTACAAATACCAGTACCTAGTGAATGATTGCTTAGCTAGAGATTTTCTGCAGAGGCAAAATGATAGATACATTGATGTACATTAATATTTTACAAAAAGTAATTTTGTACTTTAAAAAAATGTAGTAAAAACACAGCCACTTATGGTTTGCTGATTAAGGCTTTGCATGTTTCAGTAACACTGCTAGCTTTTGTAAGCCGTAGTGCTTTCAACATGCAGCTGCCACGGTGCCTTTAGGGTGAAGTCACAGTGGGTACTGATTAATATGCTGTCCTTTCTAGCACTTGAGGGAGCTTTGGATTAGTATTATTGTACAGTCGCACCAGGGATGACAGCTAGCTGTATCATGAATATTGGAATGTAGTAGTGGCAAGACAATTCTTTCATAATTGTTAATGTTTTGTCCCAATTAGTAATGATGCATCTCTTTTACAGAACTGTAAAAGATTTTGAGATGATGCGAGAGATGAAAATGAAACTAAATCCTCAAAATTCTGTAAGTAACTGTGTTGCACTCTTTTTATTCCAAACATGTCACCAACAGAAAGCGTTATCTCAGTTCTGGAACTTTCTTCTGATATGCCAGACCTCTGCGTAGTCTTGTTTCTGATACTTGGCCTTGGTCAATAAAGGTATTGAAGTGTTTGATCTATAGGTCCGAGTCTGACATTGCTTGGAAACCAAGCATTTTTGTTGGTAGTCGATGTGTTGTGTGTATATGTCTGCACACAGAGTATTAGTATAGTGCATGTGCATGTATGTCTGCATACGTGCACACACTGCTTCCTTTCTGTGGAAAGGGGGCTTCTCAGTTTGTAGTAGCCTTTCATGAGACTCTGAGGCTTGATGTAGTAGGTGGCAGTTTTAACCCTCACGGTTAGCATTGCTGTTTATGTGCTCATGTTTGTTTGCTAATTTGTAGTGCTCAATGAAGTAAATCAATATAGACTAGCAAAGTGTGTACCATTCCAGCCAATACGTGTGCACTGTTTTCAGTCCCAAGGTCAAGGTCATATATATGACTGCATGACTGCACAGTGTAGGATGCTGCCCAAGCGGTTGGGGTGCTCAAGCACCCCAAGGTAATCGGCTTCTCGATATTAGGACCATGTTTCCATTTCTGGGATTTCTGGGCATATGCCATCCTTTTGGAGTTGTTGTTGCTGACAATTCTTGATCCGATAGCTGCTGGAGCCGTAGTCTTAGGGAAGATTCAAGGAGAGAGACCAGACACATCCACTAGAAAACAGATTGTAATTACTGAACTTGATAGAATCAGAATGATCAAACTGCTAGTTTATGATCAGAGATCTGTCTAGACACATAACTAGCTTCAGCAATCTGCATACTTTGGCTGTGTAGGAAGATGGCCTGAGGAGACTAGCTGATAAATCAGAATTTAGTTAGGTGAACATAGAAAAAAGAAAAATAAAATGTGTCACCAAGAGCTAAAGCCCAGAGTGGCGTGAAGTTGTCCTTCCTCTTACGTAGCATATTGATGCAGGTGGTTCTGCGTGGCTGTGAGGTGCTGATCTGCTCTTGAAGTCCCTGTTCTGAGAATGGAGCCAGCATCTGCCTGTTCCTTGGCCAGAATCTGCGTTCAGGTCCTCAGTGGAGGTTCTCAGTGTCAGGTCCTCAGGCAGGATCGGCAGCATTGTCCCCAGCCCATCAGACCGGCTGAGGCTTGACTTTGGCAGACTGCACAGCCTGAGCACCATCAGGCCGTGGGGTTCACCCCGCTATTCAGTCCTGCAGGGGCTGCCTTCCCAGGAGTCGAGTGGTAGTGAACCAGGGTCACGTGTGCCACAGCGTGCTGTTCGTATCCTGAAAGCCAGAAGAGGTTCGCCATCACTGCTCTGGGTGCTCGCCTTCCTTCCCTCTTTCCAGTCTGGGTCATGGTCATTGTGATTTCTCACTCAGGTTTCAATTGTGGTTGGTTAATTGATCTTTTATCTTTTATCTTTTTGTTCTTGCCTCGCTCACTACTGGGCACAGAGTAAAGTGCTCAGCTGGGCTCCAGGGACACAGGGGCTGCCTTCCAGGTGCCTGTGGGGAGGAAGGAAGCGGTCTTGCATGTGTGGTACACTCATGTGTCCCTGGAAAGCAGTATGTGACATGAGAAGGAACTACTTGTAATTTGAGGGGATGATGCTGAGCTGAAGTCTTAAAGGGTAATGGTAAAAGAAGAACAGTCGACATCCACTGATAGCGTATCTCGTGCCCGCTGTTCTACCTGATAGGTTAAGTGTATTTAGCAGTCTTCTTTGGGAGTGCTGTTGATTCATTCAACAAACATTTATTATATGACTGCAGTGAGCACTGATCAGGGTGCTGGAATATAACAGGGATGATGCCAAGTCCCTGCCCGGCACGGACTGAAGACAAACTCCAGCATCCCGGCTCCACGGCCTGGCTGCTCAGCTCCCCTGTTCCCCTCACCCTTGGTGAGGAGGTTGTCCCGCAGCTGTTCGAGCCTGACTTTTCCTCAGTGTTCCTCGCTCGTCATCAAAAACAGCTATTGTCACAGACGGATTTAAGACGTATTTTCTTTGCCAAGATTAGAGTTAATTCTGTGTTAGTTACATTTTAAATTGTTGCTTTCATTTTCAAAATACATCCTAAGCTTCTTGCTTAGATTTAAAAAGGGCCCTAATCTCAACTTTAGCACTGTAATGATACCTGTGTTTTGTGCGTTAATATGTGGATTTCACTTTGGGGGAAATGTCACCTTGAATAGCTTCATCCCTTAATGTTGGCTTCTGTTAATTTTCATTTTAGAACAGCATTTACAGTTTCTCCAAATTCTAGGTTAATGCCTTATTTATACCTTTCTAATCTTGACTACAGAGAAGTCTGCCATGCCATGATTTTTTAGAATTTTTATAAATTTCTGTAGCTTCCATTAACAATAACAGGTTTGCATAACATGAGCAGCTGATATACAGTGGTACTTTTAAGTCAGCTTTTCTAAGCTGGCTGAGTTACTGAAAAAAATCACGAAACATTCAGTAGCTTTCCTGACCGTGAATTATTCCATTGTAGGAACTGATGCCTTGGGATCCCCCCTACTACAGTGGCATGATTCGTGCAGAGAGGTAAGTTTTTCAAGAAATCCCTATGTGAGAAGGAAGAGGGCAGGTAATACGTAGTGAGCACTTTGCGCTTTAGTTACGCAGCCTCTGCCGTCCATGCAGTGCCGTATTACAGACTGGTTTGCCCAGGTTCACCCCGCTGCAGGCGCTTTCAGGTCCTGCTTACCCTTCTGTTGCTCTGGTTGCAGCACCGTGCTCTGACGATGCGGCCTCGCTCCTGCTCCCCCAGGCCCGTCCTCCCACTGCTCGTGTCTGCAGCTCTGACTGCAGTCCCTCCTGCTCCCCAGTGTGTGGCTCACGGGTCCTCACTCCTTAGCAGTGGGCTGTGCTGGAGACCGTCCACGGCCCCGGCTGGTCTGGGCGGATGTCCAGCAGTGCTTGGTGAACCAGTGAAGGAATGAGAACACTTGCAGTGGTGCTGTGGACTTGTGTATGTTTCCTTATTTTTATTTGAACATATTGTCAACGCATTGGCTTGTCTGGGAAGATATAAATGAAATAAAAAATTAAGAGGAAGTTGATTTATATACTCCTAGCTTCCCTATTCTGCGTTTACTAAAGCTTTAGTAGAGACACATTTTTCTCCCCAAACATACCCTACTTCTCTTATTTTTATATTTACTTGCAAACCCAAGAAATAATCCTGTTTAAGTTTATGTTCCTAACAAGTTTACATACCAAGTAGAATTTTTTAAAATTCTCAAAATCCTGCCATTGAACAACGCATTAACATTTTTTTCCCATAGCTAGTTTTTAAGATACATAGTTTAAGAGTTATGCTTATTTGGTTTTTAAAAATCTTTTCCTAGTTATTTGATTGTCGTTAGGCTTTAGTGTTTTTGTTACAGTGCACTATTGAAGCATCAAGTAAAGGGTGATAGATACCTCTCCAAAACCAGACTTTATTTTTTGGTATTTGTTAGAAAAGCTTAAAACTCTTAAGTTTATGTACCCTTTTCTGCACGAGTAGGGTGAAGTATCCTTAGATAATGTGTTGAAGAGCTTGATCACTTAATACTCATCTGTTTTCTGCTGTTTGGCCTCTGTCCCACTGTTCCCCAAACCAACCTCCCTTACAAAGCATGATGATACTACTTTCATAAAGGTAACAAGGTTTCATCAGCTCCTGATTTTTACATGTCTCCCAAAGTCAGCATCTCGTAAGAGTATCCCGTGTTTGCAGATTTTCATATCCTGTGGCCCTGCCCTGCCCACTTGTCAGTTATATGAGCCAGTGTTTGCAGAGCACTGTCCTTGTGTGGCTCCCGTGCACGCACGTAACATGTCTTCATTCTTCTCGCATCCCCCTTTCCTCCGCTTCTTTCCGCCTCCCTGTGTTTCTTGGTCCTCTCCTTTTTTGTGAAAGATCTCCTCTTACTACCACTGTGTGCCTTCTGTTTTGCTCTTTTTTTATATTTTGGGTTTCTCATACGCGAGAAACCATGTGACATTTAAGCTTGTGGGTCAGGGAGGTGGTGGCAGCACCAGTAGCCATCATGTAGCATTCTCACGTGGAGCTGTCGGTCTGTGGACGGTCTTCTGGGGAATGATCCACTCCGAGGTTTGTTTTAAATGCTCTCTCAAGTCTTTTGAGGGAGAGGACAGTTCTTTCTTTAAAATGCTTATCCAGAATACAGTGAATAAGCACACGAGTTGCAGGATGCCCTCAGAGGACCTCTGGTGACTGGTGAGAAATACCTTCTGAAAGATAGAAATTTAGCTTCCCAAGGTTCCTGGGGAGGAGGGGCCCTGCCTCTGGCCTGCAGGGTGGCTCACTGCTGTTGGCCACTTCCGTCTGCAAGGCCCAGGTGTCACAGCTGCCTGCAGAGTAAGACTGAGCCGTTTACCCAAGGACCTCCTCATAACTCGCTCTTCTTTAACAATAAACAGATACATGCGTATGCACATTTCTCTGATGAACATCTGCAGTTCACTTGAGACACTGATTCTCTAAAACTTTCTAAAGATGAGTGTGTGGAGGGAGAGCTGACGTCCCTGAAGAGTGCCCGCGAGGACCAGTGCATGGGGCACACCTGCCTGCTGTGCTGGTGCACTGCCCACACTTCCTCCCCACCCTTCCTGCTCCCCCTCCAGCCCCTTTGGTTCCTGCTGGTGAGAACCCGTGCTGTGAGCAGTCAGATCTGGGCTCCTGGTCTGTCTGCCTTCCTGAGAAGTCTGCTCAGTTTCTAGGGCCTTCACATCTGTGCTAGTCTCAGAAAGGGCTGTAGGAATTGGGGAGTTTAAACATCTATTTTGTGTAGCTTGCCCAGCATATGATTGAATTTGATTTCGAGGTTTTAATGATCTTGATTGACAAGTCTGGGCAGAAAAGCAAAATAATGGATGATTACGAAAGGGAAAATATAATATTTTGGGTTTGAGGTTAGAAGGTTAGAGCAAAGTGAAGATTTATAAACCCTTGTTAAATTCATCGACTTTCAAGTGAAGATTTAAATGTGTGATTTGACACAGATGAAAAATAAAAGGGGGCTTTCCTTGAGTCAAGCTTTTCTTTAGGCAACCCTAGGTACTTTTTTGCTTTTATGGTAAATACTTCAGATTTACTTCAGGCTCTTAAACGTCTGCCTGAAAAGAAAAGAGCCTGCTTAGAAGTAGGAGGATAAATGAACCTGTTTTAAAACTGCCAAGGATTGACTGGGAAAATAGTGGGCTAAAAGACTGTTTGGAAACTTAAGCAGCTCATTTTTCCTTCAAGTGTTAGTACTAGATTCTCTACAAAAGAGGGAAAGTAATTCTTTCAACTCTGAAAGTTATGAAGTGATTTTTTTGAAATAAAGTGGTTTTTTTGAACAGACAATACATTCATATGGTGCAAACAGTTAAAGCAACGTTCAGTAATAGTCAGTTAAGAAATGTTACGGCTCAGCCCTGTGTCTGCCCCAGAGAGCGTCACTTTACTTTTGATTAATCTCCCTTGCAGTATTGTATTTTACTTTTAATGCTTTGGAAACATTGTCTTTTTTCTTCCAGTAATGAATCATATTTCATTTACTTTGGTGTTTTCTCACATTAAGACATCATTGGGAAGTAGAGTTCAGTATTGTGTTTTCCTCATTAGGATACATTCTCAAACGCTCAAGAGCATTCACACAATGAAATGGGGCTGTTTGGTGCTTTAAATTATTCAGAAACCATTGGGACCCGCACAGAAGGACTTTTGTTTGAGGTGTGAAGTCATATTCAAGTGGTTCCCCACAGCTTATCCCCAGGCTGTTGCTGAAGAGACTGTCATTTGTCTTAAAGGACCTTCTGGTTTCTGGCTGCTTTCCAGTGCTGTCACTCCACTGGTTCTTTCTGGGTGCCACGCCTCTAAGCTGGGTGCTGTATCTAAAGACCTGTCTTAAACATTTTCCATTTTGAGCAAGGACAATCAGAGGTGACAATGTGTATTTTTGATATCAGAGCACATAAAAATATCAGTCACCAGCCTTCCACTCCACTGGTTGTGCTGAGATTGACCCTTAAGATGGAGTGAAACTAGCCTGATGGGGAGTTCTACTTCAGATTTCCCGTCTTCACTAGGAAGTGATTTGCATGGTGGTGTTGGCATCTAGTTCCCCATCAGTTGTTCAGCTAATGGCTTACCACCCTTTGATAGTCCTGGCATGAACCGTTCCTTTAAATTACCAATTTTCAAAGTAAGGACTTAATAGTTTCCAGAAATGATGCCCAACGATTATGTTTTGGCTCTCTGTGTTGAAAGTGTCATTCTTAGTTTAGGAGTTTCATGGATTCATTGTGTTTCATTCTGTTCTCGTCATTTTTGGGGAGATGCCAAAATTGTTATAACTTGGCCAATTACACCGAAACTTTTAATAGCTTGACTTTTAACTCAATCTTTTAGGAGATTATGCAGGGAAATGTAAAGCACCTGCCCTTCGGAGGCCTCCCTGCTGCTGGGAAGCAGTTGCTGCCTTCCCGCAGGGCAGAGGGGAGGGATCTGAGGGTGGGTGAGGCACGTCTTTTTTGTTGTTGTTTTGCTTTGTTTTCCAACTTCTTTTTTTTTTTTTAGAAAGGGTCTTGCTGTGTGTTCAGGTGGGTCTTGACTTCCCTATGTAGCTCAGACTGGCCTCAGACTCACGTCAGTCCTACCTCAGCCTCCCAAGTGCTAGAATTACAGGCATGCACTACCACAGTGGCTTCCAACTATTTTTTTCCCCCCAAATCCATTTTATTTCAAAGAGAAAGAAACAAATTTCAGAACATAACAATCAGGGCAATAATGGTACATTGAGTGCACATTACCATCCCTGGTCAGCCACCCAGAGCACAAGACAACTGCATTCAGTTGTGCAGATAGTACTAGCATAAATCTTCCTCTTCAGTAAACTCCGAGAAATCAGTAGCATAACTATTACACATACACATACACACATTGTATATTTCATCTCATACCAGTGAGATAATATGATGTTTGCACATGCGTGTCTGATTTATTTCACTGGGTGTGGTCCCAAGTTGTATCCATTTACCTATAAAAGTCCAAGTTAGCCTTCTTTATGGCTGAGTAATACTCCATTATAGAAAAATATATCATTTTTATCCATTCCTCAGTTGACAGGTATTTAGGTTGTTCCCAGGATCTAGCTATTACAAATTGTGCTGCTATAAACGTGGGTGCACATACATTGCTGTGGTGTGATGTTTTTAATTCTTCTGGAAAGATACCCAGAAGGGGAATAGCTGGGTGGAATGGGACCTCTAGTCCTAGCTTTTGGGGGAGTCTCCTAACTGATTTCCCCAGTGGTTGCACTAGTCTGTACTCCCACCAACAGTGGAGAAGGGTTCCTTTTTCCCCATAGATACCCCCAACGTTTGTTATTGGTGGATTTCGTGATAATAGCCGTTCTTTCTAGGGTGAGGTGGAAGCTCTATTGTTTTAATTTTTGCATCTCTCCAGTGACCAGTGATGCTGAACATTTTTTTGCATATTTATTTGCTGTTTGTGTTTCTTCATCTGAGGAGCGTGTAATTCATCCTAG